GCTATCATATTTTCAAAGTGAAATGCTATTTCTTTGTAATATGCTTTTATTTCTGATAAAAAGGTTTAAAAAAAAAATAACCAGGCCTGTAATCTGATTATTTTCGAGCTTTTCATCACATTTATCAAATACTTCCCAAAACTATAAACTGAATATTTAAGCTTTCGCAGTTTTTCATTTTTAACCATCTCTATTCAAGGGACAAATGTTATTTTTTTCCTTTGGTGAGATCTTTTCTTGTTCCAACGAAAATCTTTGATTTCAGTTATTAAGTGAACGAAGATGATTGTTAAATTTTAGCTGTGTGGCACATTGCTTCTATTGTTTTGTTATGATGTGTTTTTCTCACATATGTTATCTATATATGTTATGTATGGATATGATATGCTATCACTCGCTTAAAAACTAATTTTTTTTATCTGTCTTGCACTGCGGCAAAAACAGTGGCTCATTATGTTTGGTAAAAAACAATGGCTCAGTTTGGAAAATTCAAAATGACCAAAAAATATACCTCTAAATAAGACTTTAAGCCACCAATGCTTTTTTCATTGAATTAGTTCCTGATTTATTGAGTGATTTAAAATGGAATTGAAATTACACATACATAAGCGTAGACATCTTTAGAGACCAGAAGAAAAGTGTGTGTATGATCCTAGCTAATATTTACAGTTTGTGAATGCTCACGTTTTCCCTCTCCTCTCCACGTTTCAAATCCTTTACGGCATGTGATTAAGTGGTCAATATCAGGTGTGAATTGGGAAGTTCGTATACTTCCCATCTTTTAGGTTTTTTTCCCAAAATCTGATCTGATAGCATTTAGAAAGTGTTGATAGGAATGACAAAGTACTAATTGTTTTAATCTGAATGAGAGTTTAATCATAGAATAATTATAGTGTCGAATAGGTCTTCAAAAATTAATTATCATTAAACTTTTCTCGATAATGTAATAATGTAATTGATTATGTTTTCCCAGTGTGTTCTTTTTCCTATTTTTTTTTTTTACTTTATTTGCCTAATTCACTTCAGTAAAAATGTAACTAGCTCGTAGTGAAATGAATGGTGAAATTAAATCAAAGATTAAAACAAAACTCTGAATTGAATCAAACATATTTTACAAGTGTTTGCGAATGCATCAAATTAAAAAGCTAAATTCGAGATAATACTGATTGGTTACAAATATCGCATTTTTTTTCTCATTCAAAACCAAAAAAAAAAAAATCTTTGTCTGCTTCTATTTTATCATCATGTTAAGTAAATGATAAGAAATAAAGCAACATTTTTTATCTTCTCATTGCTTCTAATTTTGAAACAATGAGTTCTTAATCCTAAATTCACCATAACTTCGGTGCAATTTCTGGTCACATCATTTGGTGAATTCTTGATCATGAATTTACCGCATCTCCAGTGCATTTTCAGGTCACACCATTTGGCAATCTTAATAATGCTTCATATTCACTACATCCTGCAATAATATTACTTACGCTTGATAACATTCTTTAATGATAATGACAATGATGATAGTGATGATAATGATAGCAATAATGACCATGACAACGACCGTAATGATAATAATGATGATGACGATGACAATGATGATTATGCATCCACTGGTTTATACATTTCAGGGATAATGTACCTAATGGTGTTTGTTATATATGCTTATTGAAGAGGGAAGAAGGGGTAATGATGACCATAGGTTAGGTCAAGCTTTTAACCTTCGGCCCCTAACTGACTATTTCATCGTTTCTTTCATTTTCTCCCTCTCTCCTTCCTGCTCTCCTTTCCTTTCTACCTCATGCTTCTATCCGATCTTTCTGATCTTTGAGACCACAGTAACATCTCTTCATCTCATGACCATGTCACATGTCCTGTCCTACCGTGATTGTTCAGCAGTACCATCAACAGAAACAGCAGCAATAATAGCTACAAGAATTTATTTTTATTCCTTCCTATTCCTCTATCTTTTTCATATTCTCTTTATTTTACAAAATAATGCACTCATCGAATTCCCACCTGAATTAATCTCCATATTTCATCCTATTACTGTGAATTTTAATAGTTTTGTGCAGTGCTAGCAAAAATTTAATTAAATTAACGACGAGTAATTTATGTCATGTGCCACTTGATCATAATAATACATACGTATGATTAGTTTGTGGGAAATTTTAGTGTAATTTTTGAATTGATAGCATTGAATCAAGCTGTCGATATATTTACCTATGTAATAGAACAATAAAATAGTAATATTAAATTTCAAGGAATAAAAAAATAATGGCAAGATAGAATAGTAATAATATTTACTATTATTATTATTCGTTTTATTATTATTATCATTATTATTATTATAATCATAATTATTATTATTATTAACATTATCATTAACATTATTAAAACTATCATTATTGTTAATCATTATCATTTTTATTACTAATTATTGTTATTATTATTTCTGTTTTTATTCCTGTATTTTTACTTTATCCTTTGTTTTTCATTTCACATTGTAATTTTAAGTATTCTTAATTTTCATTTCTTTCTAGAACCGATTGACACTGACTTGCATGACGTATAAACGCGACACGTGCAACCATGTCAAATACACCCATAATTTCTATTTCGTGAACATACGTGTAATCCCCAAGCACGTAGAATCTTCGTATGAACGAGTGCTTTTGTATGGTTTCTTCAATTTGATTGCATATGTATATTTTATTACGAAAATCTGCTGAGTATCTGGTAGAAATCGTCCAAAAAAGATTTTTTTTCCAATAAATTTAATTTCTTAAATGAAACTTAATCAGCTTATGTGCTTCTAAAACTGTATACTTACCATTTTAGCATCAAGCAAACTAAATCGTATAAATTATTCCACTTAGCAATTTTAACTATAATAGTAATCAATTTCAGAAGTTTACAAATTAGTATAAACTGTAAGTTAGATTACCATATTAGGAATATAACTAATTGCACATAGCTTTTCCACACCTCCAATTTACAATTTCATTAATTCTTTCCACTTTCCGCTACTACCTATATCAAGCATGCACACTTGCACGTATGCATGCTTGATACAGTTAATTATAATTATTAATCATTAGTAATTAAAAAATTATCTATCTATTATATCTAGGGAAAAACATATATGTATATAATGAAATATATTTATTGATGAATTGACGACAGGTGGCATTTTCTCCTCCTCTGTCTTCCCTCTTCCTTCTTCATTCCCTATTTTCCTCCTCAATTTTTGGCGGTTAATTTAAGTCCTCCTCTTCCTTCTCCTCCCTCTTCGTTTTCTCCTCCCTTTCCTCCTCCTCCTTCTCCTACTCTTCCAATCCTTGCTAAGAAATGACCTTTTCACTTATTACCGCTCTTTCACTCTTATACTGTTTGGCCATCTAATTTTTTCTCACATCTATAATCTCATATTCTTTTCATCTCTCTCTCTCTTCTCTTTTCTCTCTATATTCCTTTAACATTTAAAATAACCGGGCATAAATTCAAATTTGAAAATGTGTATGAGTAAATGAATGAATGGGTAAGCAAACGCATTCTTCAATTCAATTTCGATTTTTATTAACAATATTTTGCCATCAGAACCCAACCCGTTACTATTGTATGTATACTTTCCTTTTTCGATCATAACTCAAGAAATTTGCATAATTTTCGTAAATTAGTACGCTGTAGTTGTCTTTTTTCCCTTTCTAAATTATTATAAGTGTATCATTTATCTTATCATTACTTATATCATCTTTTCTATCCAAGAAATTTCTAACTTATTGTTAAATGCTAATAATGTACTTTTTTAGTAATCCTTCAGAATGAAATACGTCCACGTCACGTCATCTCATAAGATTGATATTATTGACACATGATAATAACTCATATCTGGTTAACAGAAGAGTCCAGTAAATGATATCGGAAACTTTTGTCCAAAAATATAAATCCATCTCGCTCGTCGGTCGGTGTAACAGTCTGTCCGTTTGAATGAATGTAGTAGAACTAATCGAGAAAGTCAACTTCAAACAAGTTAACACTGCTATGGGTATCTATTCGTTACTTATATTAGACTGTCTATGCCATCATATCCGATTGCTGGGATCTTCAATAAGTAATATGGGAAGCATTTGTTCGAATTCTGTATTAGTAGCAGGATTAATTGAAATCATGATTATGATTAATAGAAAGCAATCCAGTTTCATAGTTTAAATTTGTTTGGATATTCACTCTTATCCAACATGCAATTTCGTTGTAAAACAGAAGGCAAGCTTTGCCGGATAAACAGTATTCCGGTTTTTTTTTTTAAATTTTGAAATATCGCATCCATAAGAAAGGTATACATGTTGTATATGTGGTGACATTTGTTGATTTTTTAGAAATTGAGATGAAATGAGAAATAATTACCATTGTTCTGGGCTTAATGTTCTGCAACGGGGGCAAGAGAAGAAGAGCGATCGTTTGGAGAGGGGGAGAGAGCGAGAGACGTAGATAGTTTGTAGAAAGGCGGAAAAGTCCGATTGTTTAATTGTTGTAACGGATGAAAAATTCCATGAATGAAGGGTGAATGAGTGATTATTTTCACTAGGACAGGTTAGACATACAAATGGACAGGAAGTGGACCATTTCAAATTTTTTTAAACTTTTAAATTTGAAATGACATTTTTTTGTTGATTTTTCCCAATTGATGGAAAATAAATGACCTTTTTTCCCTTTTTTTTTTCTTGCAAATAACAAAGCAAAAAATAGCAGCTGTCATTGCAATCTATCCACATGTTAGCAATCATCACATATGACATTTCTACAAGTGACATCCTGTAATGTTTGCTTGATGCATACGTCAAATTTTACGCAAACTACTTTACATTAAAGTCATCTCGCATTGGTTTGGCGTTTAAAAAAAAGCAAGGAAAAAGAAATTTCATCTACGCTAATTGTCTTCTGAGAGAAAAAAACAGACTCGAAGAAATTACTTAAAATTTACAGATTCGTATTAGAAATTGGATATGGATATATCATGTCATGGAATTTATTCAACGAATCAACAACAACAACAACAACTTCCTACACTATATGACACACAAATACCCACAACCTCATATGAGCAATCGTCACTACCAAATATTGCACAACCTCATCATCCAGCGGGTTATTATGATTCACAAATACCACATTATCCTGCACCTCGGTAATAGCATCTTTTAACATTCTTTTTTTAATAGAAAATTTATTTGAAAAAATTAAATGGTTTTTTTCTAATAAGAATCCGAAAATGATTATATGTTTATATTATTGATTTGTCTCCTTTCTATTCAAATCAACTATTCAATTGTAATATTTAAAATTTTTTTAAATCTAGTATACCATATCCATCGATATCAGTGCCAAGTAGTCCAATGAGGACACAAATAAAATGTGAGCTACAGCAACAGCATTCACAACCACTACCACAATCGCAGTATCCGGAACGAATAACATCAACAACGGTTGACAATCGGAAGATCATGAATACTCAGACATGGATGAACGATCATCACTTCATTAATTATCCCCAACAGCAGCAATACAGGACCGGATCTGCGGTATAGTCATACTCTTGCAGTTCTTTCTAACTTTTCGTATTCGGTCGAACAGTGTGCAAAAATTAAAAATGCGTAACAAAAAAAAAAGGAAAAAATTAAAAATTAAAAAACTGTGTTCCATATTTACTGAAAATTTTATACTCTATTTTTACTGTGTTAAGCATATCGAAGTTAAATCAAAATTTAAAATACGATTTCACTTTTCTTTCAGCCATCATCAGTAATGTCAATGTCTCGAATGAGTCATATAAGTAGTGCAACAGAAGATATGAGTATGCTAAGTGTTAATACACAAATTACTGAACTCAGACAGCTAGCTGATTTGGTATGTAAACTTTGAAAAGTGTGAAATTTACACAATAAAATAAAAAATCTTCCCATGGATGAGCTTATTGATTTCAAAATGATCTTTTTTTTTATTGTCTCGTGCTAATGAGTGTGATTATTTATTTGCTTAATTAATCTATATGATCGTAACATTACTTCCAATAAACATCAATATGTGTTTAATATTTGAACATTTATCCACTTTTTTTTTTTTTTTTTCAGAGGGCGCAAATGCATACTTCAGCGCCATCATCTTCATCATCTTGTATCGAAAATGTGGGACCGGATCATATTAAATTTATTGAAACTGTCAATAAATATATAGAGAAAATAACTGCTCATGTCAACAACACTGATAAGGTATGAGTCAAGTTAAATTTTTATAAAATTTAATTCTCTCTACTACACTTAAGTACTTTCACACAATGTTGAATTTATACAAAGAAGAAAAAAGTGTTAGATTGAACATTGAATTATTTTAATAATACTATTATAATTATTAAAAAAATTAATAATGCTTAAAGTGAATATGACGAAAATTATTTGGCTGACTAAAATTATCTCTCATTTTAAAAAATTCCTCAGATTTCTAGATTTTTTCCATGCCTTTCCGAATAGGTGTTTGTCATTAGATTAGAAATTTTCTAAATGTTTAACTCTGCATTTTTAATTTTCACTGCCAATAAATCTTGAACTAGATTTTGAATCACTTCCTTCAACTTTAATTTCTGATTTCTAGTATTAAAAATATTATTTTGCTAATATATTTTACTTCTTGAAATTCATTTACAGAAAGTAGCACAAGAAATGGTGCGTGCCGTATTTATGATGGCAACAAGGAATGATTTTGAACGAGCTGATATTGATAAGTTGGAAAAAATGATGAAAACTTTGATACAGCGATGGTTGCGGCAAAATGATACCGAAGATGATGTTAACTTTTCATCACTCCCTATCTTTTAAAATTTATTAAAACTTTTCTTTTCAAATTTCAAAACTTTTAGTTAGTGTATTTAAAATATCTATAATTGTAAAGAGATAACCGAATGATTGATACCATATCTTCACTTATCATTTCATAAAATTTTTTAATAACATTCTTAATGTTTACTTGCCGTAAAGTTCACGCTTATCTTTTATACCAATTATTTGGATTCACGCTTATCTTTTTTATTAATTGTTCGGGATCAGACTTAATTTATTAATTTCAGGTAGTAGAAACAGTGCTGCGAATAATGACACGATTCTCTGCTGATGGTAAAACGAAACAAATTATGTCAAAAGTAAATTTTATTCTCAATTTAAATAAAAATACTTTTTAGTAAATTGTGACAAAAATTGTATGCAATAAATTGTTTAAATTTTTACATTTTTTTTTTTTTTTTTCATTTTAATTAGTTTGCAAAGAAATAACAAGTAGTCGTACGTATATTTTTGACACAAATTAGCACAAAAATCTTTGCTGAGTTTTCAATAACTGGAGAATTTACTTATTAAGTGGATGGTACATTATCCGGACGAATTACTCGAAACATTTGTACGATGGATGGAGTTAGTTTTTTTTTTTTTTTTTTTTTTTTTCGTTTTTCTCTCCAAGTGCCTGAAATTAGCATAAAAAAGATTTTCTATTATGCTAAAATAATTCTATTAACTGGACTATTTACTGTCTCTAAATGTTTCACATTTAAATTTTCTACTGTAAGTTTTTTCTCCATCACCTAGTTTATCACATAAATCGTTCTATTATAAATGATATTAATAAATATAATGAATTGAAATATTTCATTTCTTAAGCATCATAGTTTAAGTTTGATTCTATTCTATTTCGTGTTTAATTTCATATGTAATTAATTAAATGTCATTGGTTATTTGAAATAAAATATTTACATGTAATATTTAATGAAGAAATTGTAGCCCAGCACAAAAATCTTGTAAATATGCTTTAAATACTGTGCATTCATTGGTAGGAATGGTGGAACGACATCGATATGGGAAAGATATTAAAGAACAGGTAAATCTTATTCGCTTATTTGTTAGCTCTTTCTGCTAATTTCATCTATCATACAAGTTCACTGAGGTAAATATTTTTTGGTTACTCACAATTTAATATTTAATTAAATTCGATTGAGATTCACTTAAAAACTTGCACTCATTTTTTATTCATAATTATTTTCTTCGCATTTAAGATCATTGTTCGTATCACAGGTATGGTACTCATTTTAGATTCTCGCTCGTGCCACACGTGTGATACCCACTTTTTTCATATTTTAGATTCTTGCTCGTACTACACGTGTCATGAAAGAAATGGATGAAAAGGGTGATCAGTACTTTATAAATACTTATAAATCGAAACAATACGTTTTTGATCTTGTTCGACGTGTTTTTAATGGTAGCGATATGTGGAGGGTTAGTATCCGTAACATTTTGCATTTTCATAACTGTTTTGAAATTAAACCATTTAATGATATGATCAGTCAGTCAATCAATAGGATGAGTTCAAAATGGATATTTTCATTAAGTTCTACCTTAACAGTAATTTAGGTAATTTGTTATCATTATTATATTATCAAAAAATCATTCTCTTCCATCATTACATTCTATCTTTTTTTTTTTTCATATAATATAAAGTAACAGTATAAAATAACAGTTTTTCTTTCTTATTAAAAGTTTAAAATTAGAAGAGGAAAATTTTAGCAATCATTTGAATCAAAAGGTGGTATTCAACTTTTGCTACGATTACTGAAGAAGGAGGGAAATGAATCGGTGGTGTATAGGATAGCTCGGGCAATTTTTGCTATGGTTTGCTCAACTGATCTTTCATATGCTAAGAAGTTTGTTCAACTTGATGGTGTCAAGGTAGATTTTTGTTAGGTATTTGTTAAGGATAATAATGTGGGAGAAAAGCAAAAAAGGTAAAAAGCTTTTCGCATATGTATTGCACATCGGTGTTAACAACTATTGAATAATTTTGATTCTAATGAATAAACTGAATAATCTATAATACATTAATTTGCTTAGTGATAATTTATTCATTGATAAGAAGAATTAATTGTAAAATATTATTTGAAAAACTAAATTTTATTTTATACCATGCAGAAGTGATTCAATAATTAATTTAATATGCAAATAAAGGACTTTTGAATTGAAATTTTAATCAGTGCTCAATAATCTAGATTATATCGTATCTTTTGGCAAATCCAAATTGCTCCGAACGTGTTGCGCTTGATGTGATGCTTTGTTTACGTGTAGTTAGTGACGTAGATGGTGTAAGAAATGCTGATCTACGTGAAACAATTAGCCGAACGCTTAGTATGATGGGTATTTTTCGTAATAATCCATACTTTTTACATGTTGGATTTGATTTTCTTGGAAATATATCCGCAACATGTAATGGTAACTCTAATGCTAACAAGGTATTTTTAATTTTTTAACTAAATCGCTTATGAGATATTCTTAATTTTTTAACTAAATCGCTTATGAGATATTCTTAATTTTTTAAGAAAAATGAATTGCTTGAAAAATATTTTCTATTTTTTTTTAACTAAATGTATACGCATTAAAGTCTGTTGTTTGCCAGAGAAAACGAGTAATATGAGTAGTTTAATTATGGCTGTTAAAAATTTTATTCTTTCTTTTTCTGAATTTCAGGATTTTATAGCTGATTGTGGTATTATCGAAGGGACGATCAATTTGTTACAAACTTACTACAAAAGACGTGATGAAGCTGTAGTAAAAAATTTAATTTCTTCAATGTTATGGTCATTACATGTTTTTACGGGTGGTTGTTCTTCACCGGAACGTAATATTAATGTTAGAAAACGAGTAAGCATACAATTTGCATTAATCGAATAGCTATTCATTTTTAAAAATTTTAAAGTTTGGTGCAAAAAAATTTCCATTAATTGTTGACTAGTCATAGACTTTTTAATATTTTGCAACTAATTAACAATTAATAATAATTTATTGAATAAATACAAATATGTAATTTGGAAAAGTTATTTTTTTTTTTTTGAAAAATTTGGAAAAAGGAAAAATTAATTAGAATACTTTTAAATTTGCTAAGAAAAGTTTGAATAAATTAGTGCATTTGATATTTCAGTTGATAACATTTGAAGGAGCTCCAAGTTTACTTCTATATGAACTTGCTCATCCAATTGATCTCAGTTCACGTTTACACGTAATGAGCGTAAGCCTTTATTTGTCCGTTATACTATCTTTGATTATATCATTATTATAGTCTGAATATCTTTTATCAGCATGACATTAATTTTACTACATTTCTTTTTTCTCGTTAATATTAAACTATAGATAAAAGAAAACTATCACTATTATCATCAAAAACTGATACTGATGAAGATTACTAATTATAAAAATATAAAATTTTTAGTTATTCGCACGATTAGTAGATGCCGATCAATTGAATCATCCACCGATGTTGTTTAATATTAGTGTTGATAATAATTCTTTAACCGATGTTTTATTTGAAATTATAGCTACAACTGCAAATACTATGGAAGTATGAATTTTTTTTGCCTATATAATAACAGTGATATATTCATTTATTAACATTTTTAACAAAACTGATAAGTGATAGGATGTATTATCAGTGAATTCTGTTGTGATAGGGTCTAAAAAAAGCTTTAAAATTTTAAGGCAATTTTTTATTTGATTTTAATCTGATTTTTATTGCTTGATAATATTATTTACTGTTTTTTCCCATATATTTTAAGATATATTTCACTGATATGTTTGCGTCATTAAACATATAAAACAAAAGAGGAAAAAAATCAAAATATATGGGAGATTAAAATTGAAAAAATAGAATAACTTCATTTACAGAATGATGAGAAAGGTAATCATCAAAAGAAATCGATAATTCAGAGAGCTTACAGTTTACTCATCTCTCTATCAAATTGTAATACCAATTTTGGCAATGCTATACGATATTCATGGTAAAACTTAGATGTATTCTCTTTATTTGTGCAAAATAATTAAGTAATTATAATAAACCATAGAAACGATAACTTTTTTAGTGTTATTTGACTATATTTAATTATTATTATTTAATATTTGATAATATTATTACGTATTATATTACCTTTTGCTTTTACTGAATTGTTAACAAACTGAAATTTTGTTTTTTTTTTTTTTTATTTCATTTGTTTGAATTGTTGAAAAATGAGATAAAATTAGAAATTAGAATTAATTAGCTAAAAGAAGAAAAGATAGCAAAATTACCAGTGTTGTGAAAGTCTCATCAGAAATGCTTAACAACCTTTCCTGTTCTTTTAATATTATATGTAAAGCTGACCGTAATCTAAAATTGATCACTGTTAATATTATTTTGTAATTTCCTCCTTCATTTTTTTGAAGTATTTTTTTTAAAATCACTTTTTGAAGTCAGTGATAACAAAAATGCTTTAAAACACACATAGTATGTAGGTAGTAATATCTTTGTTATTTTTAATTTTTAGCATTCTGATTATTGTTAGGCAAATTTAAGTGAGTGGTTAATAAATGATCAATAATGTCTTCAATTAATGAATCATTTGAGCTTATCACCTTAACATATAATCATCCATAACATGACGTTTACTGGTACCCGTAATTGCGTCATGATGTATACTAAGTGCTAGATTCCTTCGTGCAATCTCCACATCACTGTTAAGATAAATCCCAGTTGCGACACTTAATAAATCCACCAAACGAAGCTCTCTCTTTAATTTGAAAATTAATTTAATTTAGTGAAATATTCGTCTAAAATTCTAGTCTAGTTTTTTTGTTTATTATCGTACAAAATGTAAAATTTTAATTAATTAAAAAAATTGAAATTATTTCACTTGAATAATTCTTTCGAAGCATTTGAAGTATGCTCGATGATTGTAGAAGCCAGTCCAGAATGGTGCATTACTAAATGCATTATCCATGTAAGGAAAGAAATCACCACTAAGTATGGAAGCTCGCCTTTTCGCGTTTCCTTTCAGTGATTTGAAATAATCCGCTACCGTACCAAATTGCACCTTAAAATTTGATTAACTTCATAATATTTGACTGAACTAATCAATGTTAACAGTAATAGTAATAATAATAATAATAATAATAATAATAATAATAATAATTGTGATGGTAACAATAGTGATAAATAACAATAATTAATGGTAATAAATGGTAATAATGAATAATAGTAATAATAATAACAATAATAATAATAAATAAATATGGAGACTGGTATTTCCTATTTGTTCTAATTAGAGCGATTCTTTTTTCATGTTTATTAAGTATCTTTTAATTTTATTTAATATGTTTAATTCGGAAAATTTTTACAAATCCTATTTCTTTATCTCTTGCTCCATTTTGAAACTGATAATTTATACAAATTCGTTCGGCATTTTAGCGGTTCTTATCAAATTTGGGATTTATTGTTGGGTTGTCAAGATGCAGATGTTGTCAAGAGTACCATTGATTTCCTGATGTTTATCATCAAAGATGAATCTGTTCGTGAACAACTTTCCAAAGATTGCACTCTGGTAGAAGCTGTACGAAGTTTAACAATTCAAATGAATGAAAATGGTATATTTTAATACCTAATTTACAGCAGTTAAATTTGGAGCATAGGTATAAATTTAAATTTCTAAGTAATTTCATTAAGCTAAATTTTCTTATGTTTCATTCATTTCAGGTTCAGCAGCTCAATTTTTACTGTTCCATTTAACAACCGAATCCGATACGATGGTTTCATTTACGCCAATCCTGTGATTTTTTTTCTTTTTTTTTCCTTTTTTGGAAGAGGAGTATTGCTGAAGTTTGCATAAATGTTTAGCAATTTCAATTTAGTGAAATTAATTTCGATTAGCAACTTTAATTTTGTATGAAATTTGTTTGTATCGCTTCTCTCATTTTCCATTTCCTTTTTAATGTCAAATTAATAACTAAAAAATATGAAATAGAATGATTTGTGTAGTAGTTACAATTTTGTATATTTGAAAATAATTCCTCAGAAAAATAGACAAGTATTTACGCTATACTATTTGATCATTTTGAAAATTTGTCCTAGATTTAATTTATATAACTGCATTTGTCATTTCTATTAATAAAATTACACGTTTTGCCTTATTGTATCAAAATTCTTTTTCCTTCGCAGTAGTGTTGATAACAAACTGATCTAATCAATGTTTGAATATTGACGTACATAACTGGCACATACATTTTATCACATTTCAAGAAAATGTCACGTGATATTTATTATCTTTTCCACTGAAAAATGATGAAGGTGATCAATTGATTAATTCATAAATGTTATTGAGTGTATATGTTTTTTTGATAGCATGTATGTTAATGATAATGAAACTTATGACTGAATTTGTTTTGTATATTTATAGTTCATTTCTTAGTTTTTAATCTTTGGATATTTTTTAAGAAGAACTTGACATTAAGAGATATAATTTTGTGTATTTATGCTTGCTAGAGTTTCCATTTTCAAAACATCCAATAATAACACTAAAACGAGAAGAAAAAAGAAGGAATGAATAAATAAACAGAAGTTTTTGTTGTGTCAATAAAATTGAGTGTTAATTTTATCATCTGTGAGGGATTAGCATCACTCAGATATTTCCGCTTTTCAGCTTAAATTTACGCTTAGCATCTATTCTGGGAAATAATTTTTTGTATATAAAAGAAACGATATGATGAAATGTCGTTGATGATAAAGCTGGGAATGAACAATGAATAAATTCATCTTTTTTTACTAAGAACGAATTGGACGGTGAATTTTATAAAATTTAAATTTAGTAACAAGTATGTTTGGTTAATTAACTGAACTTTTCAAAATTGTAAATTTAACTTTAATCTTAAAGGTGAAATAATATATTTATGTTATTATGATGAGTGCTATGGGTGTGTGATAAATAACTGGTGGTAAGATGTGCAGATTTACAAAAAGATCAACTTTCAGGAAAATTTTTTTTGAATATTATTTTGTTTCAAATTTATACATTTTATCTTATCATTTAAAAGTTTTAATTTTATCCAAAAATTAATTGCTTATGAAGTCTAGGAGGAACAAGTGCTTATTTGCTAACATCTTATTCTTAATGTATCACTTTATTCTTTTTTTTGAAAATTTATGGAAATTTAAACAATTTCCACCTTATAATTCTCTTTTTTTTTTTTTAATATATACCTTTTGTACGTATTATGTACATATACATGTTTGTGATATTACAGTTCCTAAGAGGACGATTAAATTTATTTAAATTTTTGATACCTTTTAATGTATGAAATTTTTGATACGTTTTAATATATGAAACACTTTAATGTATGAAAATGATTAGTATTTAATGTCGCATGTTAAAAACATTTTTTTTTTTCAATTCTCAGATATTAGCAAAAATTTTGACAAAGTTCTCATTTAGCATAACCATTCCTATTCGAATAATTTATCATCAAAAACGATTTGTTCATTTCTTTTGGAAATATCTGATAATAGATTGTGCGACAAATAAAATAGCTTTTTGTGTAGTGTTAGAAATTTTAATTTTCAATTCAACCTTTAATTCTGAAGCTTGTGCTATGGTATTATGTAATAAAATAGTGGATTATTCATAATGAAATTTGCTTAATTTAATAAGTATTAAAAAAGCGAACTACTAAAAAGAGAATAGTATGAAAATTTCAATTTATTTATGTTTGGTGCTATTTTTTTCTATTCCCTTCTGACTAGGGGAACTATTGGTATTAATAGCCTTAATCTTAGATCTATTAACTGATTTCTGGTTGATTCAATGAAAGAAATTGAGTTTAATGCTTTTTCATTTCTCTTCTATTCTTAAATGATCATTGCTAAGTCGCTCCTTTCTATTAGCCTTTAAATATCATTGTCTTAATTTAATCAATTAAATTACCATGTTGAAGTTATCAATCATTTTATGTTTTTACAAAATCTTTGGAAAATCTTTGAATATATAGAAATAAATAACTGAATAAACTGGAAGAAAAAAATGGATTCATTTTGTTACTAAGTTTGGAAAAGTAAAAATATAGATGTAATTTAGCAATGATAAAGTGATAATCCATAAGTTGATAACTGATAGAAAAATGATAATAATAATAATTGAAAAAGAGAGGAGAAAAATGATGCCGATAATCAATTTAATTAAACAGCGAAACAGTAATCCTTAATTACAATATATAGCATATATTTAATAATTAATAAACTAATTTTAGATAATTTCAGTAAATAAATATATTTCAACAGACTTTCAAATAAACAGATGAAAAATATTAGTTTTGATTCATTAAAATTTAAAAAATCATCAATAAAACAATCATTTTCCCTACAAAATCACTGTTAATACTGGTGATATTTATTAGTGAGTATAATTAAGGTATTATGCTATTTTTTTCCTCTCATTTTGCTTGCATCAATGAAATGCATACAAAATGAATTTAATACTGCAATACATTGGTTAGTAATTTTAAGTAAACAATTTCTATGATATAGAAAATATATTTTTAAAATATATTTTAGATTAAATTTATTAGTGGCATATTAACTGTACAGCTGAATACATATTTTGATTGTTTGCCTCATATAAGCGTTGAAAATTATGCGTCAATACAATAAAATTTCAAATGTTGAGCTGTTTCAGAGAAATATATTGATTTTATCATATATTTCTATATAGCACAACAAATTTTCTGATATGTATTTTTTGGATCTTTAAAAATACTATCGAAATTATTCAAAACAATTTTAGTTTCCCTTTTTAAACTTTATAAGTTAGCAATTTGTTTCAAAAATTTTTTTATCAGTTTATTTTAATAGTCATTTTTTAATTACACATGCAAAAAGTAATGACTTACATAATTTTTTAAATAAATGTTTGTTCGAATGTTTTAAGAGAAATATATTGACATAAATTAGTAATATATAAAGAAGCACTATAATTATTTCATAATGATAGTGATAATCAGTTTATCACTTTTTTATCTATGATTAGAAGCAATTGTATGTGATAGCACTAGTGAAATAATAATGTGTAATCGTAACATTCGCACAATACATTGTGGTGAAGGAATGAAATATTCAAAATAATAGCAATAATAAAGCTAATAATAATAATATAAATAATAATAAGAATAAAAAGATATATAATCACTTCACAAAACATGTTAAATAGATTTGTTAATTTATTTCCATTTGCGATTGTTTCGTTTCATTTTATATCAAACAGTTTTATTAAAATTTCTTTCTGACCATCTGTTCATTTTTGGATCAATTTTTCAAATTTTAGGATTTCGTAAAAATCATTTCTATTGTTTTTTAATTTTTTTAATAGCAAATTATTGGTAAAGCAACACATATAAGTCCAATTTTTGTTATGAAATAACAGTATGACTACACTGTAAAGTAATCTGCAGGAAATTCTAGAATTGTTTTAACTCCATTTAATTAAAATTGATTGATCAAATCATTCTACGTTTAATCCATGATTAATAATATGATCTATGATAAGGTCTTTTTGCTTTATTTGATATTTCATTTCTGGTAAAATACACTTAATTAGTTTAACGATTCAATCAATTTATTATAAACTATTTTAAATTGTCAGTGCTGTTTTCTTTCCTTTTCTCTCTTACTAGACAATGCTATGTTTTAAAAAAAGCATTTTATTAAGTCAAAGTAATCACCTTACTTGATCGGCCAAATAGTTTTTCCACACTATTTTCTTCATTTATTTATTTTTTTATTTCAATATAATCATTTGCTTTTTTTTGATTTTTTTTATTTTTGTTACCTACCATCCCCATACAATGCAGTGCTCTCATATTTTTAATCTTTTATTGAAATTACCAGTCATCAATTGGTCTGATTTCTGATTTCAAAATGTTTGATCAAATTTTTGATTTTATAAAAAAATTTTTTTTTGTATAATTTTTGAAATCATTGCGAAATTAATATGTATGTATTTTAACCAAATGATTTTTATTTTTTTATTTTGTTTTTTTGATAAAAGATATAATTTAAGATTTTGAAGTTTTATTTTTTTTAATTTTTATTTCATATTTCTATAAAGATTAGTAATATGCGTCTTGGAGGAAATAATCTACATCGGTATGTTTTGTATCAGTCAAAATTCATCCCTTTCTGTCTTATCTGATTTTGAAAGATATTCTAATACTTCTCAAATTAGACCTCATTTTGATCCCTGTTTTTTTTCTGTCGTTCGATACAATCTTTTCATTTAGTATTAATTTTTTATTTTATAAATTTCATTGTGTCCGATCATTTTATTTAATAGTTGAAATATTTCTATTCATTTTAATCCTAAATCTGTAATATTTTTATCCTCTTAACATTTTAATCATCATTGAGACTATTAGCAGTACGTTGTTGACAGGAAGTGACAGCAATGTTTACTTCAATTAAACAAACATTTTATCTCATTTCACTTATTTCTCTAAAATTTTATCTTTATGTTGGTTGCATCACTGTTTGTAAATTCACATATTTTATTGAACATATTTCTAACCAATTAACATATTTCTGATGTAATTAATATCAGCTACTAGTTATTAATTTTACTTTCGTAATTTTATTTTATTTACGATCAATCCTCCAAATAAGTCTCTTTCTTTAGCTTGCCTAATTAATTGTATTTAGTGACTGAAATCAAAATTATCTGGTTTTACACCTTATCTTTTTATCGGCCTATTTTCATATTGTTATTGTATTAAACAAAAATAAATTAATTGTTATAAAAATGATATACTAATAATATTTGTAATACAATAAAATTATTGGTCTATAAATTTAAAGTAAAGAGCGATTTCAGTAACAATGTGCTGTATGTATTTGACATTCTGTTTTTTCATTAGTCTATTTTTTAGTTATTTATTTAGTGAAATAAGTTAAACTATAAAATGTTTTCCTTCACCTCTACTTTTTCGTTTTTGTTATTTTTTAATGAAAATAGATCAAGTTGTGAAGTTTTATAAAAAATTTCAATTTTATTAGTTCATTTGCTATTGCTGTTGTTGTTGTATTTAATAAAAATAAATTACTTTTTATAATAGAATTTTTTCCTTATGATTTGATTTTATTTAAATATCATTGATATGAATAAAACATGAGTATATCAACATATAGTGACATCTATATGAATGATATACATTCATTCCTTTGAAATACAAAAAAATCTTTACAAACTAACCGATTGGAGACTAGCAGCAACTGATGATCGATTGTACAAATGATGATGATCGCTGCAATACAACAATGTTAATTCACTGAGGATTTATTCGAATTAAATTTCAATTCATTTTTTTCTTACTGATTTAATCTATAATCACTTTTTTCTCTTATTTAATATTCAATTTCAAATATACTTGTCAAAATTATTATTTTCATTTTTTTTTTTACCCCTCGGTTTAAAATATCTACAAAATGTGCTATCACATCTGGTTGGAACAAAAAGAAATTTTATACAAATTTGTTAAGCAAATTAAAAATGAAATTGGTTTGTCGATAAATTTTGAGCATTATTGTTTCAGTAAAATACGAGGTGAAATTTGAAATTTTATCCTTTCGCAATTATGATTTGATAATAAATTAATTATTGTTTGTATTACGAATATATCTGATTGTAATTAAGAATATGAGATGCTAGTAAAATAATAAAATTATTACATGAAATAAAACGATTGTATATTTGAAACAATATTTCAGACTAATTGGTTCCTTTGGTTTTTTTTCTTTCTTTTTTTTAAATGTTGAAGCTACATGTGGTACTCCTAATAACTGCATTTGGAACACTAACTATATTTCTAAGTGGCGAATTTATATCTGATTATTTATCGTTAATGATGGTTAGTTAAAAAGCTATTAACGAATTTCTTTTTTTCTTATTTTTTAGTTAAAAACTATCAACGAATTTCTTTTTTCCTTTTTTTTTTTGATTTAGTACAAAGAAACATTTGAAAAAAAATTTTTTCGAAAATTCTCATAAAAAAGTCTAAGTAGAAGTGCACTGTTAAATTTTAAAAATAAAATGTATTTCTGAAAAATTTTACTTTCAGTATAGGGAAATAAATGGTAGTGATATATGGATAAGATCAGCGGAAAGACAAAACAACATATGCGCTACATTTCAACGATTAAGCAATGCTATTATTGAAATAGATGTACGAATGAAAAAAAGTCATTTAGAAAATTTCATATTTGAATATTTACAAGCTGCTATTTGCTTCCTTAATTCAAATTTCAATCAAAAAATTGAGAAAAAATATTTGAGTAAAACTTTTTAAAAAAAATCGTTTACGGAATAAGAAAATCAAGAATTTATGAGAATTGAGGAGTATATATGTAATTAGATGAAGAAAATTTTTGTTATATACTTTCAATTCCTAGTAAAAATGTTATTAGGTCAAAGGGCATAGTATTCAATTAATACAAAATAAACAAAACGCTCCAAAACATTTAAATGTATTCGTCGTTCTGCACTCACATGTTGATCCCGGATGGTTGTATACATTTGAAGAATATTACAGTACTTCAGATCATCCGGTATTATTTTAAAATATAACTCTTGCATTATAAATTAATTAATTATATTCACTCATAATATTATAATGGTTTTATTGCTTTAGCAAAAAATAGAAATTCTCAAGTTACTTCAAAATTCAATTTAAAAAATCAGATTTATATAATTTTTCGGCAATAGTGGTTTTATTTGAGATTTTAATTATATATATATATATGTTTCAGGTTCGAAAAATTTTAAACAATATTGTAAATTCACTTAGAAAATATCCTAAGCTACGATTCATTTGGTCTGAAATGTCATTCTTAGAACGATGGTGGTCAGAAGCTAATACTACTTATAGGAATTATTTTAAAAGGTTAACTTTATAACAAAAAAGAAAAAAGAAAAAGGAAATGAATGTAAAGAAATGATAGATATGTTCAATGTTTAATTTATCAATCAAATTTATCATTTTCTTCTGTTTTGTAGCTTAATAGATGAAGGCCATTTGGAAATTAGTGGGGGCCATTGGGTAATGAATGATGAAGCAACTCCATATTTTTGGGAAGCAATCGAGAATATCATCGTTGGACATCAATATGTACACGAAATATTAAACATTACACCAACAACATCATGGTGTTTTCATTTTTAAGCTAATTATAACATTTCTGCATCAATACGAGCTTTTTGAAAATTTTTCTTCTCTGCTATCAATAATTATTATTTTAAAAAATTACAAAAAAAAGTAATTACCTTTAGCTATTAATTGCTACTCAAAAAAAATAATTTTTTTTTTATATAACAATACAAACGAATGTTGTTTCAATACCACAAGAGCAATATTTCCGTTGGCCTAAAAAATTTATATGTCAAAAATGTCATAAATGCTACTTCTAATTGCACATTAATTAAACATTTAATTATATACTTGAATTAAATTTTTTGAAAATAATGTTATAATCAAATGAAAGAAATGCAACATTATAAAGAATAAATAAGTGGGAATGCAGGTCAGTTGATCCATTTGGTCATGGACTTATGATGCCATATCTGATGAAATTAGCCGGAATTAATCAAATGGTAATCGGTCGAATTAATTCAAATATCAAAAATATATTGAAGCAACACCATCAGCTACATTTCCGCTGGGCGCAAAATTGGGATTCGGTAGAGAACTTTTTTTGCTTTTTTCTTTTGCATCATTCTCAAATGAGAATAGAAGGATGAAATGATTAAAATGAGTATAAATATTAAAGAGAATGAAAAAAATTCGAACAGATGATTAAGTATTAGTTAATTAGGTAGATGATTAATATTATTTTATTAATATATTAATATTATTTTATTAATATATTAGTAATTTTATATATTATTATATATTAATTTGTTAATATATTACATTTTATTAACACAAATTAATTGATTTTCTCATATAATTGCAACTTAATAATACTTCGATTCATTAATGTCTCATTTATTAAAAACTGCAGCAACTTCATTGGGCTCCACTTGTTAATGTATTGCCAAATGCATATTACACAGTAACTAGTGCTTGCGGAACAGATGAAATGATTTGTTGCCAGTTCGATGTTTCTAAGACATCTCGGTCAAGCTGTATGGAACGGGCAAAAGTTGATAATGTGCAAAAAATTGCTTTATAGTACATTTTTGTTCCTTATCACTTATCGTTTTCTTCACTTTTACTTGTTACAGTCACTACAGTTAGAGTTGAATCAAACAGAAATCAATTCAACAATGAAATAATTTTTGCAGTGGTGAGCGAATGGCAAATCAGTATCGCTCATTACAAACATTTTACAATTCAGAAGCAGTATTAGTAGCTGCAGGCGATGATTTCCTCTATTCAGACTCTGATGACTTGAAAATTGTTCATCGTGTTTACAGTGCGCTATTCAAATATATTAATCGAAATTATGATCGCTTTAACATGAGGGTTAATTTGTTTAGCGCAAATAATCATTTTAAAATATTAAATTTGTTTGCGCAGCATCGTTATTTAGTAAAAACAAAAGTGAGTAAAAAGACAGGTAAATTATTTTACTAATTGAATTGCTAATTAGTTACTATTATTGTTGCTAGGATGATTATCATTACTGTTATTGTTAAGATTATTATTAGTATGATTTTTGTTTATAGTTATTACTATTACTGTTAACATTGATCAGTTCAGTCAAATATTATGAAGTTAATCAAATTTTAAGGTGCAATTTGGTACGGTAGCGGATTATTTCAAATCACTGAAAGGAAACGCGAAAAGGCGAGCTTCCATACTTAGTGGTGATTTCTTTCCTTACATGGATAATGCATTTAGTAATGCACCATTCTGGACTGGCTTCTACAATCATCGAGCATACTTCAAATGCTTCGAAAGAATTATTCAAGTGAAATAATTTCAATTTTTTTAATTAATTAAAATTTTACATTTTGTACGATAATAAACAAAAAATTAGACTAGAATTTTAGACGAATATTTCACTAAATTAAATTAATTTTCAAATTAAAGAGAGAGCTTCGTTTGGTGGATTTATTAAGTGTCGCAATCGGGATTTATCTTAACAGTGATGTGGAGATTGCACGAAGGAATCTAGCACTTAGTATACATCATGACGCAATTACGGGTACCAGTAAACGTCATGTTATGGATGATTATATGTTAAGGTGATAAGCTCAAATGATTCATTAATTGAAGACATTATTGATCATTTATTAACCACTCACTTAAATTTGCCTAACAATAATCAGAATGCTAAAAATTAAAAATAACAAAGATATTACTACCTACATACTATGTGTGTTTTAAAGCATTTTTGTTATCACTGACTTCAAAAAGTGATTTTAAAAAAAATACTTCAAAAAAATGAAGGAGGAAATTACAAAATAATATTAACAGTGATCAATTTTAGATTACGGTCAGCTTTACATATAATATTAAAAGAACAGGAAAGGTTGTTAAGCATTTCTGATGAGACTTTCACAACACTGGTAATTTTGCTATCTTTTCTTCTTTTAGCTAATTAATTCTAATTTCTAATTTTATCTCATTTTTCAACAATTCAAACAAATGAAATAAAAAAAAATTTCAGTTTGTTAATAATTCGGTAAAAACAAAAGGGATGTACTTACCTCGCATAACTTTTTCATTTGCCGATGGTATCGAAAGGTATTTTAGCATTCTTTTTCTTAAAAATTTTTCTGTTTAAGAAATTTAAAAAAAAATTTTTTTAATTGGAAAAGTATTGCTATTAGAGTTGATGTAATGATTAAGAAAACTGAAGCGTTTATATCATTTGCGCAGTTCATGAAAAATTCCATTCAATTTTGAGAAGTGTTTTTTAAAGAAACAGATAAAAAAACGATGCAGCAATTTAAAAAATTTTAGATATCTTCAATACATTTGGTAGCACTTTATGAATTACATTTCTTCCAGTTACTTCAGCTAATTATCTTGTATAATTATTTAAATAAAGGAATTGAAATTGAGAGAAAGTGGATTCATCTTTAAAGTTTTGATCTTACAGTTACAAAATTCAAATTGTTAGTCAAAAAACATTCTCAACAATGGAATTAGTTAAAATCAATGTATCATCGCCGTTTATTACTGTAACACATAATGATAAGTTATTAACAATACAAGTGGTACGAATATTAAAGCAATCTGATCTTTTTGAAGTAAGGATCAAAGTTACAATTTTTTTCCCTTATTAAATTAACTAATTAAATGATTTCATTTAAATGTTAATCAAAAAATTTAACTAAAATTCTAATCTAAATTTCCAAATTTTCAATCCAATAAAACTGTAGAAAAATTGATTTAAATTAGTTTTAACATATATATATATATTTTTTTTAGTTATCATTTTTTGTACCGCTTGATCCATTTTCACGAACAATTGTTATCATGCAGTTAGATAATAGTCAATCTAACATGCTGACAACTTCAATGAAATCTAATAATTTTATCAGAAAAATATGCAAGTAAATTTCTTCAAATTCGAATTTCTCAATTATTTGAAATTATTTGATTATGTTTATTTAAACACAAAGTTATATGTGCTATTTTTATTAACGTCTTTAGTAAATTATGATGAATAATTTTCAGTAATAATTAAAAATTCTTTCTTCAGTCCAAAAATGATAGATTCAAATAAAAATGAGAACATCAAGCTAGAAAATGAATTTCTCACTATTTTTTGGAATTCAAGCACAGCGGAAAATTATCGGGTTGGCTATTTTAAACTTGTAGAAGCTTTTTTTTTCGGGCAAGAAATGAAAAAATGAATTTATCCATTTTTGTAGAGCAAAGTTTTTGTTTTTTATTTTTTGCAACTTGCAACAAGCTGATTTATTTCTTTATCAAATTTTCCATTAAGTATTAAAATGAATCAAATAATATCAGGATCAAATAAATGTTCAATGATTTTATTTAACGATATTATTGATATTAGCAGTTAAAAAAGCATAAAATGATTTCAAAGAGATAAAATTTATTTGTAAATAATTAATCATTTAGTTAGTTTACAATGACGGAAGTATGGAAACAAATTTTGCTTTGTATTTTAATCGAATTAACGATTATGGTGGTGCATATACCATGGTATCAGCAGGACTATCACTTGAGGTTTTTTTTTGTCTTTAATGATTTGGTATTACTTTACATTCATCATATATGCTATTTCCATTTCATTTATCTAAATTAATTATCAACTTACTATGAATAATAATTTATTTGCTGTTACAAATTCGTTTGGCAATAATTTTTCTAATGTATTTGTTTATTTATTGTTTTTTTGTTAAAATTGAAAACATGGTAATAATTTCTCGGACATTTTTTATAATATGTTATAGAATATCACTGATAAAAATCGATTATCACCAACCATTATTCAAGGTCCAATTTATTCAAGTATAACACAGCAATTATCATCACAATTAGCATATAGTATTACCATTATTAACTCAACAGATGATAATGCTCGTTCAATTCAAATTGATCTGTTTACAAATGTTACTTTATCACCTGGGTATACATACTTCATGAATTTAAACAGTAATATTAACAATTTTGATCATTTTTACACTGATGTAAATGGAATGTATTTAATACAGCGAAGGTTAGCAAATTTTTGCAGTTTTCTTTTTTAAATTTTTAATCGATTTTTCAACTTTTAAAACTTTTCAATCGAAGTTGTATCGGTATTCTAGCAATGAACGCATACATATATACTATTATTGTTAATTAATATTTGTAATGGAATTGTTATGTTTGTTTTATAGATATGATAGAAAGATGAAATTGGAAGCGAATATTTATCCAATGATAACCGAGACTGTAATCGAAGATGATAAGCTTCGTTGCACTGTTCTTGGAGCACAATCAACTGGTGTTACTGCTAAAATGGGTTTAGTTACTCTAATGGTAGACCGAGAAATGTATAATGATGATGGGAAAGGTTTGGATTATTACGAAGCTAGTGAGGTGAAAAAATTATTTTACTTAATTAATAGTATCATTTGCGACTTTTTTTAAATGTATATGTGTAAGTTAAATTTTTTTTTGATTTTCAGAGTCATCCATCTCATCTGCGATATCGAATTATTTTTGAACCAAAAACATCAGAAATGAAAAATTTTGATGATTTGAAAACAATTGACAAAAACGAACTAGAAAATAAAAGTTCACCAATGAATACGATGTATCATTCACAACTTGTGCAACAAACATTGGAGGAATTACTTTATCCCGCTGCTCTATTCTTATCATCAAGCATCAATTCAACTGATAATAATGGTTTTTGTTTCATTATTCATTTCACTTCATTAACCTTAAACAATATTAATGCTACCAAAGCTGATAGCTCTCTGTAGTAACTATTGGATGATATGTATGTATGATAATTATGCTTAGTAATTAGTCAAATGTTTGAACTAAATTTAATTATCTATCTTTTTTCCACAAATTAAATTTTCGCTCAGAATTTTTACTATCCATTGAATGTTTTCTAATTAAATCATGATCAAATTTCACTCTTTTTAACAATTTCATTTTTTTTTTCATTTTTTTAATGATAATAAATCATTCATTATCATTATCATATCATCATCGTAATGAATCTTCATTATCATAATATATAATTTTTAAAAAACAAAAAAAAAAAGTATTTGAAATAAGGATCAAACTGTTGTTAAATGACGACACAATTTCAGCGGGAATTATGACTGATCCAATGAACCAACAAACTTCCTCATTTAAATTCTTAAAGTAAATATGAAGATATAACATACTTTATGAAATTTCAGCTAATCTTATTTTCAAATTTATAAATTAACGAAAAAAATAATTTTTGAAATAACAAATCTAGTAACAAATATTAATAAAACTTTCGAATTTTCACTTGCTATTCCAGAAATGTCATCAGTATTAATCGATTTGCCACGTTTACCTGATAACATTCAACTTATCACTATTCGATATATAGCACGAAAAACAATATTATTATCAATGCGTCAGTTACCATATGATTGTTCAGTAGAGCTATATTGTAAGAGCGACAGTAATACGGTATGAGTGAATTACTTTAATTTTAAAAAATTTAAGAAAATCTATATTTTTTTGATTTGAAAATAAAATATACACATAATCGAAGACATTATCTACTGATTGATAATCATCTGAATATTAATTTGATGAAAATTCTTTTGAAATTCTCTATTTTAATGAAATTGTTATGTTTTTTAAATATTTAGTGTTTTTTTTTTTTTTTTTTCATTTTTTTTTTTTTTTTTATGAATCATTTATACTAATAATCCAAATGGATAAGTATAAATTGTCACTTTTATATTATCTCTATTATAGTTTTTGCTAATTCACTTATACATTTCATTAGTTATTCATCATTTTGTTTAAATAAATTAAAATTAATTCAGTCAAGGAAAGAAATTCAAATTTCAGGATTTAACTCGTCAATTTTTTTCATCATTTAACGGATCAATTTATTTGTCGAATTTAACCGGTACAAAGAAGGGGATTCAAATTATGCCGGAAATAATTCCATCTTATCTCATTCAATCATTTCATATTGTTACATTCCTTGTGGTAATTAATTAATGGTCTGTTCAGTTTCCTTTTTTTATCGTTTTTTTACATAAAAATAGCTTTGCATAGCCATAAATCAGTTTATCAAAGAAATACATCCCACAACCAGTCATCAAACCGCTTCCGTTTAACCAGTTTACCGTCCTTCATACATATCAATTTATCATTCTCTATCAAATGATTTTTGCTCATTACTTTTTTTCTTATCACAACACATTTCATCGCTTCTAAGATAGGTATCGAGAATTCAGATGATAATTCAAGCATGCAATGCCTCAACTACCATTCCTATTGATATTTGAATGCTTAAAAAAAAATAACGTAGATCATTCTTAAGATCATCGAAAATTTAATTTGGACAATAATTCAATTGCCATTATCAGTGATAGTTTGAACGCTTTGAAACTTTCTTTCCTCCGACCATCTCTCATTAACACTAATGAGTTTATACTAAATTCCATTGATGTACCATTTCCTTGGGGATTTCAGCAACAAAAAAGAGGAAAAAAGACCAAATTGGTGATAGGTCCACCGATGAATTAAGTTTCAGAATATGCACCGCGGAATTTTTCTTTTAGTTGAAAATTTAAGACTGATAGTTGCCATATACCGAGACTTGAGTGATGACTTTCGCAAATTTTTGTACAAAATTACTATAAAAAACTTTGAAACAATGCGATTTTGGAATTAAAGAGACAAAAGAAGAACACAAACCAAACAGCCGCAGAATTCCCACAACACAATGATAGAGTCGAAGTTCTTTATCATTTATAGCACCAATGAGTGCTATTAATACCTATTCTTTTCTAGAGAAGTTTTTTTTTTTTTTTTTTTCAGGATTAGCCATTTTATGAGCTTGTCCTTTTTTATTCTACAAATTCTCTTTAAATTTAGTATTCCATAAAAAAAAAAAAAAAAAAAAAAAAAAACAAAAAACAAAGTTTGTAAAATAAACAATTGGGCAAGCTACTACGAATAGAAAAAAACATTAAAAAAAACAGAAATCGAAACAATGAAGATTAAACAATTGGGCAAATATGAAGAAAGACATGGAAATACACCGAAATTTAAATCTTACTAACAAGCATCAAATTAAAATTTAGTCAAAAAAATGAAATTCAAAAATTCATTAATTTTTTATTAAAACAAACAAACGAAAACAACAGAACCAAAGCTTTTTCTTGAAGAGGACAGTTCTGCAAATTTGCACAACTTCTTTCACTCAAAATATTATTGCTAATGGCAGAGAGAAGAAGAAAGATTAAATCCTATCTTGCTAAGCTATTATATTAAAGCGTTGAGATAAAAATTGACAAAACGAACTAAATAAATAGATAAGTGCTCTAAAAAAATATTAATCATCATCATCAGAAAGTGGTTCATAAGTCGGTTGCGGTGGTGGCTTAATAGGCAGCATTATGTTCCCACTCGTCGTAACCGTTGTTGTTGTTAGCTGAGGTGGAATAATATTTCCTGTTGGTATATTTCGCATATTTGAAGAGGAATCATCTGGAGAAATAACTGGTCGAATTGTTGGAGCACTTAATGTACCATTTCCACTATCCGGCAAATTCAGAAATGAAAAAAGAGGCAAATTTGTGGCCTGATCAGTAGAAGTACCTGAAATTCATTGAAAACATTTGTTATGATTTACAAGTTGTGCCTTAAATCTGCGTTTAAATGAAAATTTCAATTAATTCTCCTATATAAGGATTTCTTTCACTTCTTCTGTTATGTAGAAAATATTTAAAATATCCTACTCCAAGATTAAACTTGAATCGAAAAAGAAAAATGAAAGGAACCTGTTTGGGATGTAGGTGCAACATCGGATGTATCAGGTGACAGCGGTTCGTAATTTGCAACAGCAGTAGGTTCTGATGAACGCTGTTGGTTTTCCACGAGGGTGGATTTTTCTTCGTTCTGTAATAACTACTACACAGTTTGCAATGTGATTTAAAAAAAAAAAAAAAAAAAAACAAATTCACATAAACTACAAAATTATCCACCATAACTTGCAAAAATGACGACATACTTGCCTAAGCTGAACAAAATCACTATAGCTGATACTTTTAGGAAGGAAAATACATCGTACCTCAGCTACATTCGTTATTGTTTTCGCGCCACCGCCACTAATATCTGCCATGTTTGTTACAAGCAGTGAAGGAACCGATGCACTCAAAGTATTCCCAGGAATAATTGCTGATGTTTGAAATGTTGATGTGCCGGAGATACTCTGGGACGATACATTCGGTGATAAGGTCCCTAGTACCGACAACTGCAACAGTGCAAAATGTTTTTAAAATATCCTTTAAAAAAATTAAACCACTCTGTTCTAGCTGATATAAGAACACAGAATACTCAATAAACCAAAACCTCCTTTAATCTCCTGGACCGAAGTTTAACACCTAATCAGAAGCGAAAACAGGACAAGGAAATACTTTACGATCGAATAATTAAACATGACAAACAACTTAACTGTGCCACCAAATTCTAGAACTCTAGTACAAATCCTAGAATAAGTCATATGAAGAAAAAGTTTATGCTATGCTTCCGTTGCAATCAATAGTCGGAAAAGGAGTTTTTTTAAGATTTCCAAAATCAAAAACAATTATTAACCATTTCAATACAACTGCATAATATGCTAATTTATAAAAGTTACAAGACTCTCATTAAAAACTTAAAAAATTCTTCTGTAAGTTGGTCCTGAATTAACTCTAGAATATTATCTAGCCCTTTCCTCATTTGTTCAATTGTATGCGTGACTTGCATGCTCCATCTATAATGGTTTTAACTGCTAGCTCTTCTACTAAATTCATCACACTCATCTTATTTGCACCAGATTTTAGAGATTTCTAAAAATGAATTTTTTTAAAGCATATGAACTTTTCCAAGCTTTTCACAAAGTATTATTAACATCCTCTAACTAATAAAATATCAAAGACCTGAAATGGCGACGAAGTGGTAGGTGTTGTCGCGCGTAAACTTGATGAGTTACATGGTGAAACATGCGCTGAATGTGAATTTGATAGATTTGGATTTATGGAAATGGGTGTTCGAGGTGAAACAAGTGTCGGAACAGGAGTACGCATTCCAGAAGTATAACTGCTTACAGGGCTTACGACTGGACGTCCAAGAATGGTAGTGGCTGGAAGTCCATGCGAAGAAATGGCTGCACTGGCTGGAGCGGATGTGGATTGTAATGGCGAAAATCTAGTTTGATGTTGCGGTAAAGTGGGGACAAAATGGGGAAAGTGCTGCTGTTGCTGAGCTGGAGATGTTCGAGATATGGATACCGATGCTACTGAAGATGTTAGTGGTTGCGAATATGGAGACGTAGGTGCGGAGTTATTAGGCGTAGTACAAGTAAAATGCGCAGTTGCAGTAATCGTCGGTGACCCCACACGCTTCTGACTTCCTGCAGATGTTTTCACACTTGGTGCATGGTGGACATCGGACACAGACGGAAGATATACCGTATGAATACCTAAAAATTGGTTGATGGAGAAATTTTCCTAAATGAATCAAAATCGCAAAATTAACCCATTATTGCTTATTTGAAATTCATAATTAAAAATTCACATCCAAAAAACTGAACTGAAAAATACTAGACTAATCTTTGGCGCTTTCCCATCCAAGAAAATTTGAGAACAAAAATACCTGATTTACGTTTAATTTCACAGCTATTCTGCATATTCCTATGCTCGGCGCGATTAAATTCCTCGTCGAACGTTACATTATGGCAGTGTTGACGCAAAAGATGTGATGTTTGCCCTGAATCAAACATTGTGCTGTCCAGTCCTATAACAAAGAATATATTTTGAGTCATTTATAGTTATTATAAGTTCCACTGCATCCTACTATTGTTTTAATCGTCGATACTTCCACCACCTGATATCAAAAACTTTATTGAAATTATTCCCAGCTTAACGAAATAAAACGTGAAAAACTTATTCTGCAAGAACTAGTTTTCTTACGAAATACTAACCCTTTCGAGAGAGAGGATCAATACGTGAACTTCGATTTTTTGTGCATTCTTCAAGCGCAGTTGAATCGTTTGACGTGCTCTGTCTAGGAAGCTGTAAAACAAACCGTCGGCAAAACTTAAGCAGGTTTAGTTTTTTTTTTTCCTTCTTTTTTGAAGATAACGAAATATATTATTCATACTTTATTAATATTACAGCAAGACGGTAAATATTTACTTCATAAGCGATCAAAAGAAAATTTCAAAAATTTGGAAAGCAACATTCATTTGGATTCAAGTTATTTCTCCTAAACAGTTCACGTTTGCTTAATATTTCTCAAATAATCAGTTTTGAAAAGCTAAAAGGAACAGGCCATTCGTAAGAGAATAGAGAATTTGTCAGCACATCAGAATAAATCTTAAATTGAGTCCAAATGTATTTAAAATAAAATGTAATGCTCTGAACAAGTAAATGCATACTCGTCCTTCAACTGCTGTTGCAAGCGCAGAATCATTCAAAGTTCGTTTTATACCGATCAGACTCTGACCAGATACAGCCTGTGATGAAGATGGAGTAACTCCAATCCTAGTTACTGATGGAGGAAACTCTTTCATTGCACCTTTGCTAACAGGACCCAAACCAACAGTTGTACGCTCATCACACATACCCCTCACTATTACCCCAGATGACGGAGTAGAGGTTAATGCATTTCTTCCTGAAAAATCAGTACAAAAAGATGTTACTCAGAAACAATTGGCACTGAAATTATAAGCCATCAATAATTGAAAAATGGAAAGTCATTTGAAATCACAATGGAACGTGGAACATCTGATGTATTATGCTCAACGGTGGCAGTAATAATGATTCTGAGAGACGAATGGACTTTTTAAATAAGACAAGGAAAAAATGTGATAAAACTAACCACTGAGTGCCTTTAATCCTTCGTCATAAGCACGCAGATAATGCTGCATTGCTGTACGTCGTTCTTTAAGACGTTCTATAGTTTGCAAATGAACACGAACAGCTTCGACATCTTGCGATCGCAGAGCACGTGGATATTCAATTTGTGACACTCGACTTAATTCATCACCAATACGCGCCTCTTCCTGAAATACCTCCAAATTTAGTCGAAGTAGGCATTTAACTCTCAGCTTTATTTTTTATTGAAAAATAAAAAATAAAGCTGAGAAATCGAAATTTTATTTTAATAAAATTCAAATCCTCCATCATCAACAACCATAATCGATACTCAAGAAAGCCAATAAATAAGACGGGAAACTTGTAGCACATTCTACAAATAGGACATCTTTTTTTTTTTTTTTTGATTCTCCCTATCGGTGGATGAGCAAACAGAACTATTAATCCACTTTGCTAATATGCAAAATAAAATGTTCAAAACACAACTTACTTCTACGACACGTCTTCGTTGTTGTTCTATATAACGTATTTCTTCTTGCTAAAAGAGAAAAACAGAATATTTGAATAATTTTTTGCCTATTTGTAGAATGAATTACCAAAAACGCAACAGCTCTATTCGTTGGTAATAAAAGAGAAGTTATCGATGTATATAAATGATTTTGTGAGGAAATTTTTATATGCTAAAATTATTATTCTTCGTCAGATGCTTAATATCTTCTCTCTCAAGCTAGTGTAATTCAAACTTAATCTGCTGCCGTACTTCTTTTTTATTCTTCTTGATTCGGTAATAAGTCAGAAGAAGAGTTTTTCTTGTAAACATTATAGAAATAATTGTGACTAGTACAAATAATTTTAATATCTTCCTGTAATCCATATAAGAATTTCTTTGTAGCTAACACTAAGTGAACTTTCGTAGTTCCCATACATAAAAAATATTTTACAAGTTTTTGTTGTGCCTCCAACTGTCGCATATTTTCATCCAGCTCCTTACGCATTTGTTCAGCGTTGCGAAAATCGTTGTAGAGTTGAGAAGCTGTCGACGAAAGTGATTGCACGTTTGTACGCTGCGGCTCTGTATTACCTGTTGCTACTCTACCCGTCATAGTAGATATTGCTGTCGATGGTGTTGCTGATGCAATAAGCTGCTTTGCTTGCTGTTGTTGCTGTTCAACATTTGGTTGAGCGCTTAAATGAGCTGCAACCGATGGATGTACACTTGTAGATGCTGCAGCTGCAGCTAACAATGTATTTGCTGCTGCAGTACGTTGTAAGTTAACTGCTTGTGATACTGTTTGTTGCTGCAACGGCTTTATGGTCGATTGCTGCATTAGTTGCTGCCATAACTATAAAGAATTTAAATATAATTTGTAGACTGAATGTCACGTTCTGTCGGGATGAATTCAAATGTAATAGTTCAAATACACAAAAATGCAAATAGAATTTTAAGGTTAATTGAAACAATTTCGAAAAAATATTTCGATTAGTTTTTCTTTAGGAAATAAAACTAACCAAAAGTTTTGCTTGATCATTTGCTAATGCATTCATTTGTTGCTGCTGATGGCTATTCTGTACCTGCTGCTGTTGTTGCTGTTCAGAAAGACCCAAAGCTAAAGCCTGCTGTCGATATTGGTCAACCACACTGCTTGCTAAAAAAAATCATTCCAATTTTCAATTTTTTTTTCATTCTGACATCCTAATTTTTTCCTATTTGTCATGAATTAATACATACATATCTCTGCACTTATAATTCAAATACATATCTTTTCACTTACAATTAACATTTAAAGGAACTAAAATAAACATAAGTAGAAAAAACAGTACTGAAAGTAAAAAGCAACCTCGTAGCGCAGCCAACCGACGTTCGTATTCATGCTGTTGTGCAGCCTGTTGCATTATTTTCATTGTCATGGCATACTAAAAAAAAAAAAGTGAATCACGAAGGTGCAAATTGCAAATTTGTCCAAAATTCCGTTTTCTCAAAAGAAGAGATAATAAATATTTCTTCAAGAAGGAAAAAACTCACTTGCATGGCAGGATCCATTGCAGCAAACTGATTATAGAAAGCAGCCAAGGATGACATATTTGGATCAGCACCAGCAGTAGGAAATGCAGCAGCAGCAGCCGCTGCCAAGGAATTCTGCAAAAAAGGAAGTGCAACAGCTGCATTTGCATTAGGTTGCAGTGCGGGTGTTGGAATTGGTGGAGTGGAGCTTGTAGCAATATTATTGGCTGCTGCTACCGCTGCTGCTAAAGAGGCACCAGTTGCGACTGTTCCAGCAGAAAGCATTTGCATTTGTTTCATTTTCTCCAATAACAAATCGTTACTGGGAGTAGGTGATGATGGTGGTCTCATCACAGGCGTCCCTGTAAACAAGCCAAAATTCATTAATCAAGCTAATTTCCAATTTCATTAATTTTCAACAACTTGAAAATGAAACAAAAAGCGGTCGTATCATAAACATCAATTCTATCGCTGTTCTGGTAAGAATAGTAGATATTTTAGCTGTTAAGTGATTATGGACTGCAGTGTCTCAAAACAGAGGTTTGAATAATTTCAACAATTTCATTAAAGGAAGACAGAAAGTTTTTTGAAATAAAGTACATCTATGCAGAGGTTAATTTTTCAATAAAATGACAAGTAATGAAACCTTGAGTGATCGAACCTTTGACGATATTTCCAAGTGCAGATGAAGCAGACTGGGTAACTGCTGAAGTTGACGATCGGGTTATTGAAACTGAATATTGTGGTAATCTATCGATATCCAACTTGAAAAGCACTTTAATTATAAAACTCATGCAACGAATGATAAAATCTTCACCATCATTATTCGATCATAAAACTGTAAATCTGTTTTAATACTCAAAGATAAGCCGAATTAGTGAGAATCTCAACAAAAGTTTTAATGGTCAAAGAAAGTCGAGTTAATTTGTAACGAACACTACATTAAACCTAATGGCACCTGCTTTAAAACTAATCTTCTAGAAAACACATTCCTAGCTTTGGTAGGACTAGGATACCAATAATTGAACCCATTCACATCAACGAAGTATAGTTTTTCGTTTAATACTCTACATTTCCAAAAGTATACACTCATTGTATGTTATGATTACATGGTCAGACCAGAGTTCTTGAAAAAACAAGAAAATTAAATAAACCTGAGCAGATCGAGTAGGCATCGAGTCAGGAGTCGAAGAAGTAAGTGTTGCAAGAAGTGCACTTCCAACAAAGGATGACTGCGGAGGTAGGGAGGTCGTTTTTGTAACATCATCTGCGTTCGAAAGATCCGACGACGAGGAGACGCTTGCGTCAGATTTACGACAAGTCAGTGGAGATGACATGACTTCCGACTCCTTACCGACTTGTGACAAATGCAAATGGGAATTACCGACAGACAAAACTTCTGAACCCAGTCCGGAAGTACCGCGAAACCTTGGCTTATATAATTGTGTTGACGGTGATTTTGCGAGTGGTGGTAATAAAATTACGCAATCATCTTGGTTGGCTGCTTCATCAGCGCTTGCACTGCTTTCGCCACTAAAATTTTGCAGAGTATGATAATTAGAGTCATGAAATTTATTAAAGAATTACATGTCACAAAAAGCTTTATAATAAAGAGCAAAGATAAAAATTATTATCAGGAGAAACGACTTTAATTATTTTCTTCAATAATTTATTCAACAATCACCTCTTTAAGCAATTAAATGGAAAACCTACGGAACGGAAAGCGCGAACCTCGGATCCGCTTCAGTTTCAGCAATATCATTCTTGACCGCAACAGTAGCTTGTTGTAATTGTGGATTCTCTTTGTCATCTTCACTAACATCGTCTTCGCTTTCTGCTTCCTTTTTGACACTTCCCATGGCATGAATCTTTTCATACTGCTCTCGACATTGCTGAAATTGTCACAGTAACAAGAGTTAACTGACTTCAAATTTAAATCAAGTAATTAGTTCACCATTTTGCATGCTTATTTTAGTGCTAATTACACAGTTAACATACCTTGGCACTATACTTATTGCTCATTTTTTCAGCCACAGTACTCCAATCTTTTTCACCTACTGAAGTAACTGCGGCACGTAATGTTTCCACCTCTTCACTACTCCAAATAGCAACAGAAGATTTCTTCCATAAAGCCATTTCTTCCTCCAGTTCACCAGCGATAAGCTGAAAAAAGTTTCATAGGTCCGTGAAAATAACAAAAAAGAAAAAAAAAAAAACACTAAAACTTCTACAACCTAACTTGCTTTACCTCTGGATGACAAAATAAGAAAAAAACACTGAATCAAAATTAGAAAACAAGGATATACATTTGAACTATCAGCAACTGATTGCAGTGTTTTCTTTCTTATTTACTTTTTTTTTTTTGTCATTCAGAGATTTGGATATGGTTGCAAATAGTTTGAGAAAAAGTAGAAGGCTTAGGAAATAAGTGCGAATTAAATATTCGAAATGCAGCAGTGCTTTCAACATTTAAAAGTTTAACCATATCCAACTGCTTGGAGATTTTCTTATGGCATGCAGGGCAACATTTTAAAATATCTTCCGGTATCAACATTTGATGCATTAAAAACTGTTTCTGCTCATCCGTTATCAGCTTCCATTTCACTGGCATTGGTCGTGTTGGTTTCACTTTTCGACGCGGATTATGGCATGTACCAATTTGGCAACGTCTAAAACGCAACAAAAGTTTTCATAAACTTCGAAAATCAAAAATGAAAGGCAAATTTCGGGATCCAATATAATAATTATGAAAGCGCTATGCAGAAAAGCATTCATATTAAAGACATACGTTACAGTTTTTGGCTTAATCCCTTTTGCTTTACACTTCTGGCATACACAAATATCAATTTCATTCGCTGAACTGGCATCATAGCCCGACGCATCCAATGTTAAACGAGTAAGTATTCGACCAGTATTTGAACCACTATTCACTTTTGCTTTGCAAATACAACACTCAAGTTCTCGTGAACCAACAACTAAAATTGGATTAAAAGTTAAGACTTTTTTGATATTTTGACACATGTAATTAAAACTAAAAGTATAAATAAGACTTTAATTATCTTAAATGAAAGTGTATCAATTCTTCATAATTCGAACCAACGATCTCTCCTATTAGTAACGAAAGGCTACTTACAACTTATTTCGTTTCCACTTTAATTACAAGTGTGCAACATCATAGCATAATTTATTTCTATACTTAATAGTCAGCTAAAGTCAAATTTGCATCTTGAATTTAACTATGAAATCAAAATGCTTAATAAAAAACTGATGCACTATGTCATAGCATAATGACACTCACTCATACAGCTCTGTCTACTAACACCAGGGTGAGAGAGTAACACGTGGTTATGCAAACGTATTATTATGACAGCTTGAATAAATTGTGCTGATTCCGTTATGCATCCATGAAAATATTCGAACCTTGAGATTTTAAGAAAATGAAATTATAAAACAGTAGGTAAACTTACTGGTGACATCATTCGCAGCCTGTGGTGCTTTTAGTGCTACTTCTTCAAGTCGTGGCATTACCGGTGGTTTGTAACATCTTGGAGGCTTCTTCCGTTTCTTTCCCATCAATGCTTTATAGTTTTGACGCTTTTTAGTCAAGTAATAGTATAGAACGCAATCTTTTACGCTTTTTCGATCTAGAAATTCCGCTATCGCCGCAAAATTTTTGCCGTATGTAACAATTTGCTCCCTGAAAGTCTGGAAAAAAGCCGATGAATGTTAAGACAAATATCCTTCTATCCTTATTTAGAACAATCCGAAATAAAACCGATAGAAATGATGCAAAATATTTCTCTTACTTTTTTTTCGTCATCTGTCCACTTTCCCAAAAAATATTCAATATGAGCATTATGATCCTCCAATGCATCTAAGACAACTCCATTTAAATCTATATAAAACGGTGCACTACGCATTCTTGAATTCATCATTATCGGTGGTAGTGCCGCAGCTGCACGCCGTCTTTTATATTCGTCCTCCTATAATTAGGCCTAGTTACAACAATCAACATAACATTATCTAAAATATGAACTAGAGAGAAGTTTTCTAAACCAATCTCGAAAATAAAGACTGAAATCGGTGCACAGCAAAGAAAACATGCAACAACTTAAAGTCAATATGACATAATATTTTTAAAAAAATAAACGCCCAATAAAACATTTGTTAATTGCTATTCTACATGATCATAACTCCATTTTTCATTAATATTTTCAGCTTCTTTTGTTCTGTTACTGATGTCAAACTCTGTCCGGTAATGGATGCACACTTTGAAGTATCTGGCTTCATTTCCAATATCTGGCTTGCCAGTATATCAATATATTGTGATTCTTTACCTAAAGCGACAGCTCAAATACTGAGCATTGCAGCCATGAACCTAAGAAAAAGAAATTTTTCTTTAGACGATGGGTTGTACCGCCATTCCTTGAATCTTATCAATCCAGTTTCAGAAATAAAAATGTAAACCTAACAATTAAAAATTTTAAACTAATTTAACCTGTTCTAACTGTTCTGTGGACAGAAGGCCGATTCGACCACACCGCTCTCGTTCTTCTCGTGTTTTTTTCAATTCCGGAAATGTTTTCTCAAATATTTCACGATGTTTTTCGTCTCGAGCACTGCAAAAATAAAACAGGAAATGAAGAGACAAATATTAAAATGTTAATAAATGTTATAACAAAAAAGCAAAGCTTACATTTTCTTCTGACTTTTGCAGTACCTCTCGTCTTTCTTCAACCATTCTGCATACATCATATTGTATTTTTCAGTTTGATATTTTTGAGCTAATAAATCGTTTTGACGATGCTCCGTCAGCATTTTCACTAAATAAGGTTTTACCATTTTGTATCGCTCAATCGTTTCTTGCACCAAGGGACTGTCCCATGGATTTCGATATTGTGGCTGAAAGTTCAATCAGTTAAATGAAGAAAAAGCACTGAAAAAAAAAAAAAAAAAATGTTATGAGCATATGTAAAATCATATGATCTTAATTAGAACTGAAAATAAAAATAAATGTACACTGCACCATGCTAATCTTAAGTACGAAATTTTGCTAAAGAATGACCTTATAACTTAATAATTACTTAGGAAAAAAAAAAAACTTTATAACTCAATAATGAGAGTATCACGCTCTTGTTTTATCATGCCCCTGTAGCATTGTTGTAAGCACTTTATTTCTATGATATTCGTCTCAGTTATATTTGCATCATATCTAAGCTGATTTAAAGGCATAAATTATTAGCTTACCAAATGCTACACTACCAACCTTGCTATTATAGAAAAAATCTCTCTTTAATTTTTTCCTATTGGTTACAACCTCAGTAAGAGTGTTTGTGTTACAGGAGTACAGAACGGATTTTTTACGATCGGAAATTACATCAGCAAAGTGACGGATATCTGATATAATCTCATACTATATTTCAATAAACACTATTATATTTCACAGAATTACAAAATGATAAATTCCAACATCAGCAAATTCGCGAATAAAATAAATATATGGCATCTAGTAGTAAACTTACAACTGTTGCGGCTGAAGGTAACAGATGAGCTGGCATCTGAGCTTCAGAACGAAATGCCTTCTTTCGGTTTTCAGCATAAATTCTCTCAACCAGACTCATCGAATCTATGTCTTCAGTACTGTCATCATTTTCTTTATCATTATCGGTGCTATCACTCGATATCTTAGACAATTCATTCTCGTATTGCTCCTATATTCAACGTATTTTTCTTTCAAGGTAACTGATTTAAAAAAAAAAAAAAAAAAAAAAAAAACTAAACAGAATAAAAGTTGGGCTTCTAATAAGTTCAGTTTCTCTTATATTTTTATTTTTTATTTGATACTCCGTCCTTAATCATGATATATTATGATTCAAATATGTGATTAAATAAGAAAACTTCTTAAATCATTATTAATTCCACAGTTCATAATGAATTCAAATCCTTTAATAAAATATTAATTCAATCCTTAAATAAGAACTATCATGAACACCTTTTTTCGTTGTATAATAGTGATCTGGCTATCGACAAGCTTTTTTTCTTTCTCAACTGCTTCTAAGTGATCGGTGATTGAATTCTTCTTACGTTCTGTTGTTTCGTCAGCAATCATGCTGAATTCACTGCCCATCGTTTCTGATTTCTTCATTTCACCTAATATACCACCACCGATAGAATCCGAACGTCTCCTTTCATCTGGAATCAGCACACTATGTATTTAAAGATTTGCACTTGAAATGTATTTTTTAAAAACGATAAAATATCTCCAGAAGACGTCTCACAAATTAGCGAACCATCTATAGAGATTACTCTTTGATATTACCTAAAAATGTAGCCGAGTTGGTCGCAACCATAAAATCTGCAATTAATGAACGTCGGCGTCGAGCATCCACTTCAGCCTGAATCTCCTACAAATGGAAAGATTTTTACTAATCAAATTGAACATTTATTCTTGTGAAGAAAATACTGGATGATGAAAGTTTTTCTCTACATATAGAACCAAAACAAAATAATAACTAGAGCTGCAATTCTGACAGTGACATGGAACTGAGGGCAACAGTGTCATGAAATTCATTAACTCCACATATTTTTTGTCCCTTTAGAGATAGAAGTATATGAATAGCCATACTAATACCTGACGAGACTTTATAGCACCAGGTGTAGATCCTCGCATCGAAGGGGAATGAGACATTTGTTGATTACTCTGCCTTAATGCATTCAAGCGTTGTATTTGAACAGCTTGCGCTTGACTTTGTTGTAGTTGTGCTTGCTGTTGTGCCACTTGCATTTTTTGATTTTGCGCTTGAGCTTGTTGAGTTTGAAATGCATGCTGCTGTTGTTGCTGTTGCTGCTGCTAAGAAAAATGAACACATTTATGGATATGGTCATAATGTGTCACTTATCAATATGATATATTATTAAGTACATTTACATTCTCAACTTCTGATTAGTCGAGCAGACCATAACATTAGAAATCAACCTGAATTGCTTGCAAATGAGCATTCTGTGCCGCTTGAGCAACAACCAGTTGTTCAAATTGACGTTGTAAGTGCTGCTGTTGCTGTTGCTGGGTTAACTGTGCTTGGCTCTGAGCCTACGAATAAAGTCAAAAACAATTTGCATAAGTATATCAAAACATTATGAAATTCCATAATTACTAAAAAATATTGGACTCAAGGAGAACAACACATCTTAGTTAAGTTTTCAAGTCAATCTCACATTCTTTGGAAGATACACTCAATAACTTTCTACTCACAAACCCAGATCATTATGAAGAAAATGATGCATCCAGTAAATTTCTCGATTGATCATATAAACTAAACAGTTTATTTAACAATCGATCACTTGATTCAGTTTTTAAAGTCCATAAAATCAAATTTCAGTTCAAATTACTTGTTGATAAAATTGAGTATACGCTTGATTTGTTATGCCCAGCGATGGATGTAAATAAAGTGCTGCTGCCAGATTCATACTATTATTAGCATTCTGTTGAGCATTTGGTGCCGTAAAAGGTGGATTACCAGTAGGAAACATTGCCCTTAAACTTTTATCACATTCACCGAAATGGATAATTTGCATACGATGCCATATGATGCTAAAATTAAATTAAACAAGTCAATAAAATCCATAATACTTAATTATAACATAATCAAAAACCATAAACATAATAACAGCCGCAAACATAACAGAACATGCTGCTAAAATTAAATTAAACAATTCAATATGATGGAAGTCAATTAATACGACAAACGGGAACTATAAAAACAATAGAAGGGTATAAAGCATTGCTACGACAACCAAAAACTATAAATAATCATAAACACAACAGAAGCGTCACTATATGTTCAGAATGTTAAAATGTGAAATGAATCGTAGTATGAATGATTAAAGAAAATATCATTGTAGTTCAAAGAGTGCTGGCATACTGAACATAACTGAGCATAATTAGACATGGAAACGAAGTCCGTAAAGCTAATAAATTATCCTAATCACCAACAATAAACAACAAACAAATACCAAACAATCACAACCATACACAAGCAACAACGATGCGTCATCTAATTGCAGCAGGCTTGGGTGCAATTTGCTATAGCTGGCAAGCAAACTTCATGCCTTCCTGATATATTCGTTCGTCTCTAATATTAAACTTAAATTTCGTTATGTATACCACTTGGTGACGAAGTTAATTTTTCACGATATGATAAACTTATTGTGTTTAATGATGTTAGATGAATAAGATGAAGTGGTTTACTTGATTTACATTACTTTTGATGAATAATTTTTAATAAAGAAGAAAGAAAATCTGCCAAATCTTTTTCATTATTTTTGTTTGTTCAAAAAACGAATGTTTGAAAAAGATTAGAATAAACTGTAAAACTTCCCAGCGTTTATTATGAATCAATTTCTGCTGAATTAATATTAAATCGAATCTTTTGGTCTTGTTTTGTTTTGTTTTTTTTTTTTCCTTGTACTATTGCAAAATATTATTTAAAAAAAAAAAAGTGTTTAATTTTTTTTCTGAATGATTGAAAATTTTAGGGTTAGAAGAAAATCAATTATATCAGGCTTTTTTTCTCCCGAAATCATCAAAATTTCTATCTTATCTCACAACTAAATGGTGAAAAATTAAAAATTAAAAGTTCGATAATTTCTTCCATCCTTTTACATCGTTTCGTAGTATTTATCATACAAACTTAAATTTTACTAATTTGATTGAAAAAAAAAAAGTCGAAATCAAATAAGCTTATAAGAATGATTCAGAATGATGGATACCGTATGAGAGATTCGGTAAAATATGACTGAAAAATGTAAACGGATCATTAAACAAACATTTTTCACCGAAAAAACAAAGATGGATGTTAACTGATCATCATTAGCATCAACTAACTTTCACTCTTTGCAGTAATTTGATCTCTCCAACGAAATCTCACGTTTTTCTTTCTTTTCACTTTATGCAATAAATTTGAAAAGATCAATTCTAATTTGTAACCGTTCCTATCGAAAGTTGTTACATATTATTATAATTAATATTGATTATTATTACATATTGTTACTACTATTACTATCATTAGATGGATAATTTTTAATGTATAATATTATATTATGATCTAATATTATAAATCACTTTATTATAAATGAACCACAACAACAACAACAGCGAACAGTGAAATGGTATTCAGTATTTCGTTATCTTTAGATTATGAAATTCCCTTTGCATACCGATCAGTGATAAGCTTGCAAATGTAATTTAAAATTTTAAACTTTTAAACTGCCTTTTTTCTTTTTAAACGAAAGCACTTGAAGAAATTGATGTAGATTGTAATCCTATGTTTTCATAAATGTCATGTTTCATAACTTACAATGTAATTTAAAAAATTTTAAATCTCATTTTTATTCCAACAAAAGAAAAGGATGGAATTTTAGATTTTAAATTTATATCAATTAGAATAGATCAAATTTCATGCATTCTTGTTTAATATCTCCAAATTCTTTAATCTCAGTTACTTCCCGAAAAACATACAAATGCAGACAGAATGCCTGCAAATGTAAATTTCTCAAGAAATTAATGAAACAGCAAGTAACAGTTATTTGTCATTTGTCAAACGGGATAAATGTTATCCTATTCCAAAAAATTAATCCAAACAAAATTTCAAAAGAGCGAAATTAAATTTTTCAGAAGAAATTAATTTTAAGAATTCGGCAAACATTTTAGACACAGTCTTTTTATACTTTTTGAAAAAAGATGCAGATCAATAAACATTAATTAAATTTAATAGAAAATTTTATGCAAATTATGGTTTATTGTCTCTCAAAAGTCCAACACAGAGTAAACAAAAACAAAGCAATATTGCAAACAGAATTATCATCGAATGAATTATTAGGATAACACTGATAAATGCAGTCCAGTAAACGAAATTATCACAGTGATAAGGTTGGAAATAAATGTTTATGTTTTGTCCCGGACCATATATCCAAATACAACCTAAAAAACAATGAATTTTGTAAGTGGATTTTAAATTTTAAGCCATAAAATTAAATAGTTTTTATATGATAAGCAATAATTTCACTCACTAGATCGCATTTATCTACTGTATCTTACAATAACATGAAATTCTTTCAACTTTCAGATTATAACTTGAAAAATTGTTTATTATAAATTTGATGTTCAAAGCATTTTAAATACATAATAGTGGACTTTGTACATAGCAAAACGACACTTTTTTTGCATAATTTTCAGATATTAAAAAAAAGTACTGTGAGATAAATTTAAGCTTTTGTGAAAGATTTCAGTTAATTTTAGTAAGTCACAAATAATGTCTTAATACTTAGAATTTTCTCATTTTCTCAATTCTAGTGAGCGAAATTATCCTAGTGATATGGTCGGAAATAGATGTTTATGTTTTATTCCGGACCGTATATTCAAATATAATCTAATAACTTTGTTTCATATTAATTTTGTACTGAGGTTTGTTAAAAAGAAAAGAAAAAAAAAACACATAGATACAAAAAAAGAAAATTTTTATTAACTTGCAGCAACCTCAAAATTACCAGAAAATAGCCAAATAAGTATAGCTGCGATCATTATTCCTTCAAGCGCTTTGCACGTCAAATCAACGCCTAACGTATCAGCACGTGAACGTGGCCAAAAAGCATAGATTCGCAACATACTCCAAAGAATATACAAGCAACCCATCACAATTAAATAACACTGGGATCATTGGGCGTGACGGACAAAATGGTATATTAATAGTACCTGCAATAAATAATAGTAAATCACGCGATAAGAATTTTAATTTTTAGTACCAAACAAAAATTTAAACCTTTCTTTTATCAATTATGAAATTTTTTATTTTTCTCCCTATTTCTTATTTTTATCGGACTAGCACTATTATTTATTTATTTATTTATTTATTTATTTATTTTATTTTATTATTATTATTATTATTATTATTATTATTATTATTACTATTATTATTGTTATTATTATTATTATTGTTATTATTATTACTGTTATTATTATTATTACTATTACTATTATTATTATCTTATTATTGTTACTATCATTATTATCGTCATTGTCATTGTCATTTATCCGATTATCAAAGCTTATTATGAAAAGTACTGCTAGCTGATTTCATGACACTTAACAACTATTACATGCATAAGGCCCCATAATGTTAACGAAAACATCAATCCAATCAGATATCTGAAATTTTATTATATAAATTGGAGTGTAAATTTCGAAAATACTTTTAGAATTTTGATAAGGATGAACCATAGTTAAATCTCTTTCATCGTTATGTAATATTTCTTCATTGCTGTATCTTGCAGTTAACGTATTTAAAGAAAAGCGAAGCTAATGATAGCTATTACTAGGGAAATAAAAATAATTATATTAATATCTAGACTAACATGCTGGTAAGCATGAGCTAAGATGTTGTTCAAAGTTGCTTGCGAATTCCGTAGCACTATTGGAAATCTTGTAAATATCAATAAAACTTTGAAATGTGGGATCCTTCTGTGTGACATTTCTAATTGATCGATTGAAGCTGAAAGTTTAAGTTGAACTTATTATGAGCACATCGACAATCGTCTCTAATAATAGTTTCTTTTTATTTAATTCATTCTTCCTTGAATTACTAATAATCATGAAAATGTGACATTCACTTTGCCATGAACAATTTTCAGTAGTTTTACTTTTGGATCATTTTCTCAAATGTTATTTTTCTATCATTGACAAATTAGATTACGTCAATCTTCAATTTTCTTCTTCAAAAACACAAAAGTGTTTTCTGATTTGTTTATGGAGTGTTAACAAGCCACAAAGAGTACATAAGAGCAGATTTTCAATTTTTTCTTTAATAAAAGGAAAATTCATTTTGTTTGAGAGTGATCTGGTAGATGGTTACCGCTATCAACGTGGGATTGTTGTTGCTTGTTGCTGGTCTTTTTGTTATTTACTGATAAAAGTCACTACACTCTGTATCAATAGCTTATTTCGACCATGGTATCCAAACGACGATTGATGAATTCCATCGTCAGTAATTTCTAATCGATGCCTAAAATAAAAGATTGTTAAATCTTCAATTTCTCAACTAAAATTACTGCTGTTACAATTAATCATCAGTAATCAAATTGTTTCGACTCGCGTTTGGCCTTAACCACTGTAAGAGTACTTAAAAGAAAAAGGTGATGATATATTAACCTTTTTCTTTTATCTAGCAATTAAGTTTATCAAGGCTGAAGTTGAACTGGAAGCTTATAAAGATTGAAACTGGAGTGAATTTGTGTTCTAGGCCAATTAATTTTATAATAAAGTGACATTTTAACTACTGGAATATCATTTAGAAATTAATTATTAATTGCTTATAGCCGTAACAGAGTGTCTATATATCATTTAAAGATTTTGACTTGAAAAAATTTAATTTAATAAGTTAAAATTATCACTTAACATACATATAGCTATCTTGACCAATTGACAGTGATTGATAACCATGTCCAAACTGTTCGTTACTTTTCTGAAATAATTGTTTAGCATATAAATCCATTTCACTTCAAGTTTCCGTCCTTTCTTCTTTTGTTCTCCTTTTTTTTTTTTTGTTTTATAAGCAAACTGCTTTTTAATTATCTGCAAAATCCGGTTAATTTAAATTAGTTAATTTTTAATTTTTTTCATTTTAATTAATTTTAATTATTTCCTATGCCATTTGAGAGTAAAAGTGAACAAAATGAGGAATCTTGAATAAATCCTTTGATGACGAAAAATTAATTTTGAAATTTTCAAAATTTAATAGCTATAAAGTTACAATAATGCTCTCTATCATGTAGCCACCTACATTTATGAATATATTATTTGCACTAATTGATCAATATCTATCTTGCTATCATTATTTTAATTTTTCAAATTTAAACATTTCAATTAAAAATTCATAATATACTCTCTAAATTAAATGATGCCATCCTTCTTTCTACTTTTTCATTCTCGCTTAATTTCTTATATGAGTATGTGCGTCTGTACGCCATTTTAATTATAATCAAATTTCAATTGCACAAACTGTCAAAGACCATTACTGTTGACAGCAAGTTAAAATAGATAAAGCGATAATGTCATAGATTTAATTTAAAAGTAAATAAGCATTCACAAAGACGAAAACATCAGAGATATAAGTTAAACAATAATGAAATATTTGAAGAAGTGTATGATAAAACATTTGAATGTTATAATAAGATGCATATAAAAAGAAGTTTCGAAAAAAAACTCTGAATTAACACATAGAAATTTAAATGTCACCTTGAAGAATAAAACAATTCAAAATTAGTTACTGATAAGAAAAAAGGAGGGCAAAATTAGGTAATTAGTAGTGTATAGCTAATTTCCCATTGATTGAAAGAATATATTGACTATATGTTTATACAATACTTAGCAAGTAATGAGTACTGCAAATACAATAAATTTAAACATAAATAACCAGAAAAAGTAAATTTTTTGATTTGCTATTTTCGAAAAATAATTTTGTTCAATTCTTTATTTTCTATGAAAAAAGCTTTCATTTTCGAAATAACTCAATGTTTGCATGAACTTATTAATCTAATTACTTTTGCATTTATTAAAAAAAGATTAGAAAGTGTTTTAATAAAAATTAAAAAAAAAAAAAAAAAAAAAAAACTGATAATCTTCAATAAGAATTGAGAATAAATTTGAAAACAAAATTATTCCTTAAATGAAAAGATGATTTCAGAATTTTAATTCCAATTGTCAGTGCTTTTCACACTGCAGAATTAATTCTTGAAATGAATGAAAATTCATTGGAAATTAAAAATTAATAAAGTTGGAAATTTGAAAATAAATAACTAAAAACATAAAGTGAGTGTGCAAAACTGTTATTAGTTCACTTTTTAAAATCCACCAGAATTTATGATTCACAGTGTGACAATTGCATATCGCAATTGTTACTAACATGAGCGCATGAAGTTAACTAGCGTTTGAAGGCAAGGTAAACAGCTAATAATAAAAGTGTTGATAATAAATATCACAGGTGATAATAACAGTCAAGGAAAAAGAAAATCTTGATACTTTTTGTTATTTCTTTATTTCTTTGATTAATTAATTAATTAATCAATTGTTTATTTATTTATTATTATTAGTACTAATTTTTACAATTTGTAAACCATTTTGTCATATCTAAATTTCAGTTATATTGATATTTTATGAATGCTAATTAATAATTAATAAATATAATTTAACAGGTATGAAATTGAAATCATGCAGGATTTTTATTAACTCTACAAAATATAACTAAACATTGAGCCGAAAAAGTGTAATTACACATAATAATAGATAAGTCAGATTTTTTCATTATCGGTAATCAAAAGTTAATGTAATTAAACATGATTCCTTCACACAACAACAAATCGAGCAGTGTTTACATAGCAAACGTAGTTGTGATAAGATAGCTTAGTTTGACAAATGTCGTTGGTGGTTGGTAGTAGCAATAATAGTAATAGTAATAGCAGTTGTAGCAATATGTTTATGAAATTTGTCCATTGTCATCAATAATTTAGTTTACCTTCTTCTTAATCAAGTATTGACACTTGTGATAATTGCTGTTGTTTAAAATTTAATTGATCGAATTTTTTAACTCTTGGTATATAGAAAAAAAATTTGCAATAGTATGCATACATGCATGTGCTTTGATTAATAATGATTCAATCAATGATCCATGCATGCAGGCTGCAGTGACTCCTTGCTACTTATGAGCAAATTAACATCTGATACTGTCATGCAGCATGCAGATTGCACATCTGCTTCAACAGGTAAACAATCCCCAATGTCTTATATCCACTACATTTGCTTTAGTAGCTGTGTTATTTGTAGAAAGAGTTCAAAAAGTCAAATATTTTTGTTGTTACTCTAAATGAGATTTAAAGTAGCGCAAATTCGCTCATTTTCAAAGTCACATAAATTTTTCTCTTTCACGTGAAACGCTGTTTCACGTAGATAGGGCTGTTTTTTTTTTTTTTCTTTTTTTTACAAAATTTTCTAATTACTACTTGTACAAAGAAATTGTTGATATCTCACTCCATAATTTTATTTAAAACTAATTAACTGAAATAAAAAACAAAATATCACAACGACAGTGACAGGATCAACAATAAAATATTTTTATGAATAAATTAAATCATAACAAGAAGGTTTTTAATTTTAAGAAAAAAAAAGAAGACATTTCAGTGATGATTACATCTGTTGATAGAAATAAAAAAGATTCAAGAAATGTAAAATATAAGCGTTAAATGAATCCGAAACACCTACTATTAGTATTCATGCCATTTACTAATTGAAAATGATATTACGAATTGTTGCAATAAATTCTAAAATTTGTTTATAATATATTTCTTCAAGTAAATGTATGTGAGCAATTCGACTAAAAAAGTCAAATGTAGAAGAAAAATGAAACAAAAAAAAAAAAATACTTCTGTGAAATAATTCAAAATAACAAATAAACAAACGATTTTATCGCTTTGTTTATTCGTTGTAGTTATTGAACAAATAATTAATTGAAAAAACATAAAATATAAAAAACAAAATTAGATAACTATTCGGCAAATTCATTCATAAAATTCAACAACTGAAATAAAATATTCAAATCTGTGAAATATTCTGACTGATATTAAAAGTTAGTTATTTCATTCAATGAAAGAATGTAAATTATTAGTTATTATTATTATTAATTATTGTCATCAGATTACAACTGATGCATTATAATAGTATAAATTAACCTGAACTGGTTGCAGCAGGTATATTTACTGAATTCCTTATCACATTTTATTTCCAAAAAAAAACGAGCAAGAAATGAAATGTTAACGAGAATTTGAAAGCAATAATCCGCTTAACGGTGGCTTTCTGAATGAACTTCATTCAATTATTTATTATTCAAAGGTTATCAGTAAATTATCTATGAGATGAAATGGAACATCACATACTCATATTCATTTCACCAAATTACTTATCCCAAATACCGTTTATCTGTTATCAATGAACAAAATATAATCATTGACAAATAGTTCACTAGAATAATGTCATTTTAATAAAAATTTTGACCGAAAAAGATTAGTTTAAAAAAAAAAAATGGCAGAAATATATATATCGCTGCTCATTTTTATAATTTCTTGCAATCCAAAAATGATGATAATATTCGCTTTCCAGTTTAGTTGTGATAATTCATAATATTCATAATTTTTATTTTTATTTATATTGCTATAGAGAAATTATCACTATCATTTATCATAATATCAAATAATGAGTGAATAATCATTTTAATAGATATTTCATAGAAAATATTTGAGCGATAGCATAATTTGAATATAATGCATCGCCTTTTGTTAAATTTTTTAAAATAATATTTGAAATGATGGATTTGAGTTTGAATAATCTGAATAAGTTGTATAGCACAAAAACCATTATTGGTTAAATTTTGTGGACCATCGAAATTTGAATGACACATAGTGTGATTCATCTAGCTGTTAAGTAATATAGTACGATCGGATTATTCGTCTTATAGAATACAATATTTAAAATAAAATAGTGTAATTCGATTGAGATTTTGTTCAATTATGCCAGAGAAAAAGATAAAACAAAATAATTTTCAAATAAAACTTAAAAATGTTTAACATTTATTATTGTTTTACTTATTGATTTACATATTGCTTGTAAATAAGTAAGGTATCAAGCAAAAATACTGATATTATCGTTATCTTTATCTTTTGATATTATCGTTATCTTTGTTAACATTCCTCTGTTTACATTGTTTCCAGATAATACTTCAATGTTACATTATAAAGTTTTATACCAAGCATATTTGCAATATTTGATATTTATATGCTGCTTAATATATGCAGTATAATATATTTCCAATAGAAGGAGAGAGAGAGAGAGGGAGAAAGAAAGAAAGAAAGAGGAAGGAATAATTAATGATATTGTCATAGTGCTGCACTTACTTATCTTTTATCGTTCAATTTATCATGCTTCCAGTTATCTAAGTTATGCAAATTAAAAAAATTGCTTTCACATCTGCATTCAAAGAATTAATTTATCAAATAATTACAAAATGACTGTAATTAGGTTTAATTGTGAATTTTTTAATTTTTCTATGTGAAACAAAATCATTTCTTCAAAACTTAGCAGAAAAAGTAAAAAAGTGTTATGCAAATGTTTATATAGATATTATCTTGCAAACGAAAATAATATTATATAAGATAGATGATATAAATATCTAACTTAACCGATAAAATATTTACTGGTAGAAGTATAAAAGTAAATTTTAAATAAATAAAAAGTGTGATTATATATGTGAAGAAAACTAAAGAAGTTTGATGCATTCGTAATTAAATTTATTTGAAGAAATTTAACCAATTTCACTTATCAGATATGTCTTTAATAAATATCTGATCATAAAAAGGAAAAAGACAGAAAAGTTGAAATTTTTTTTATCACAAGTCATCAGCAAAAGCTTTGTATTTGAAATATTACCTTGATAAACATGAATAATTT